GGTCACATCTAAGATTTTCGAGGCTCGGTAGTCCCGAACTTTGCAAAGTTGGGGAGTTTTTTTGCCCTGACGGTGAAAAAAACAGCTTCGGGACTACCGAAAAACATCGCGGACTTTTTCTACGGTGGTCCCGAACATACTTCGGGACTCCCGAACTTTTCCGGAGCCATACTGAAAGTTCGACGGTAGACAGCCTCCGCGGGCGAGATGTAGTGGATCAGCGGTTTTCACGGGATACCTCTTGTACTTCCCCCTTGTCAGGTCCCGGTAGTCCCGAAGCACCAGCTTATATGATGTGACCGAAAGGCGTTATACGGTACCGAACATTTCTTTTTCGGGAGGCCCGAACTTTTTCAAAGCCGTAGATGTGACCGCCCTATGACTCTGAGTCTTGATCTGCTTCCGACTACAGATTTCACAACCGCAAAGCATTTAGGTTGGGACGTTTCGCGCCAAGTTTGTTCACTGAATATCGTCCGATGGCCTCAGATAGCCTCATCTAACGGCCAGATAGAATTCTGAGCGTCGCCGCAACGTTCAGAAAAGCTGTCCGAATCTGAGCACCAAGACAGACCACTAATCGCCTCTGAGCAGAGAGCACAGACGCTGTTGCAGTGGTGCGCACGAGCCTGAGCCTGAGGCGCTTTCCTGCGAGCTGCGCTGTTCCAACTTCGCTTGGGAGCTTCTGCTTTGCTGCAACTTGCAGTGCTAGCACTCCGTAGACAAGTCATAGATTAGGCGGTGCTTGTTATCTGAAACCTGGTCTGCTACCTGAGGACCTTTGTTAGGCATCACGGTTACAGAGAATGGGGTGGCGCAGGAAGCGGAAAGTGGACGAGAAGGGGTCAACCGAAAAGGGCAAATCCAAGAAGAAGGCCACAGCTGAGGCCACAGCTGAGCCGGCAGCAGGAGACAATGCTGCGGTGGATAAGGATGACATTGAAGGCAATAGAACGCATGGGGCGTTCTTTGGCTGCTACCTCTTGAGCAGCCTCAATCCAAAGAAGAAGAACTCGACCTACATCGGGTAAGAATCCGGCAGAGGGTTGCATGCCTAAAGAAATTAGCAGAGTGACATTTCTCAATTGTGCCCCAACATGTCGGTGGCTCAGTTTGTGCCGCAGTCTGTTTGCCTCCAATCTTTGAGCCCCATCCTGGTAAGGAAGTTCAATTGGATCTGCAATATAGATACAGATTGACTGAGGCCAGTTGTTTATTGCGTTTCCAGAATGAAACTTACCCCTCTTGCCTTCCAGTTTCACGGTCAACCCGGCTCGTCGCTTGCGCCAGCACAATGGGGAGCTGACGTCTGGGGCCTACAGAACGAAAAAGATGCGGTGCGGTACCTCAGCAACCTTTCTTTCCTTGCCAGCTCTGGTTTTCAAGTCTCAAGTTCGTCACTCTAAAGCTCCATTCAACTCCCACTAGGTTCCCTGCTTGACCTAGTGAACTTCTGCGGGAACCTCAAGTGTGATGCTTTGTGCTGCTTTCCTCTGCAGCCCTGTTGAGATGGTCCTGGTGGTCTACGGCTTCTCCTCAATGGTGCATGCGCTGCAGGTATGCCTCCGAGACACTCTGACCGCTCAGCACTGGCCTGTTTTATTGGTTTTGGCTGATCGAGCTCGTTGAATTTGTGAAGCTCCTGTCAAGGGAGCACTTTCCGCAAGCTCTCCTCCCGAATCTTTCAGTGGTGATTTGAAGCATCTGCTGTCAAAGGAGAGGTGTTGCTTGAAGGAAGTAACAAAGCAGCGAAACCTTGTGCGTTCAGTTTGAGTGGGCGTGGCAGCACCCCACTGTGTCGCTGGCGGTCAAGGAGGCTGCGGCCACCATCAAGAACCGCAGGAGCGTCAAGGGCAAGATCGCACTGCTGTACGCCATGCTCAAGCTGCCAAAGTGGAACAAGTGAGCCCACCCGCACAGACTAAGCCTTCTTGAAACATTCCGGAAATTCCTTGCTCGCTTTTAGTTAGTCCTTCCCAGTCGCAAGCTTGAATTTTTCTGCTCGATGTTGCAAGCTCCGCCCCCGCGTGTGGAAGCAGACCAAGCTGTCCAGGCCCTTACTCCATGGATTCCCTTTCAGGAATTCCTCAGTAAAGGTTCCCAATCCCTGGACCTTGTGTCCCCGTCCTCGTGCAGGCTGCCCCTGGTGGTCCAGTTTGTGAGCAGCCGCCACGTGGTGCACAAGCTGGGGCTGCCCCCCTTGCCCGACCACATGGACTGCCTCCTTGCGCCACTCTCCAGCCTGCGCATCAAAGTGGACGAGACAGCACAGGACCCCCCCATCCTGGACCCCCCCAGCGAACCCCCTCCAAACGAGCCGTCAGAAGTCCCTCAAGCGTATGCTGGAGGTCAAAAAGATCAAGGTGAGTGCCTCAATCTGCAAAAGGGAGTTGCTACTTTGTGGTTGCTGTTTCAGGCGGAGTATGTCTCTGAGCAGTATTCGCAAGCATGTCTGTTCTGCTGGTTTCTCAAAACACTTTGAGCCCGCAACCTGTTTTCTTCATCAAGGTCGCCCTGATCCCCTCCTGCTTGCGTCACTTGGTCCACAATACGATCGCGACAGGTTAAAACTGTGCTCCAACCCCTGTGTCGCAGATGGCGCTTCTTCGCTGGATTCATTGGGGGCCGACTCCCCCCCTCCTTCCGTGCCCCCTCGAAACCCTCGTCTGGAGACCCCGTCGTCTCCACCTGGTGCTTCCGGCTGGGCGGATCCCCTTGCGGACTGGGACTGGTTGGACCAAGACAAAGCAGAGTGGGACAATAGTCCGGGCTCATGGGGGGAGCAAGAGCAGGAAAAGGCGGACCCTTTTGCCACCTGGCAGCGGCTCAAGGCACCGAAGGACGTCTCAATGGCTTCGCTCAAGAGGGGCAGGAGGAAGGGCGCTAGTTTGGTGGGAGGCACAGGCAGGGGGGCGGAGCCGGAAAGCGATCCTGTAACGAGCTGGAGTGAAAGGGGAGAGGGGTCCGATGCAGATTGGGCCCTTGGAGAAAGGGAGGAGGGTGCTCTTGATCGAAGAGAGGAGGTGAAGGGTAGAGTGCGGTCAGATTGGCAGCCAACTGGATGCGCCGGGGCTGTAGAAGCTGACGAAGAAAGTGACGTTGGCGCTGGCAGGAGGTCTGAGCGAGATGACAGCGTGGATTTTGAGTTACCGCTCTGGCAACGCCTTGAGCGGGCGAGAGATGGCGGTACAAAAGCGGGGACAGCAAATGGGGTAAGGCGAAGAGACACGGTCAATCTAGTCGGGTGCGATAAGGAATCCTTAAGTAGGGAGGAGAAGAGCAAGAGAAGAGAGTTGCAAACCCGGCGAGGAAGAGATATTGGGGGCCCTCATTGTAGTCAGGGGCCCCCCTCTTTAATGGGCGTCGAGTTGGTTGTCTTGGAGGGCTCTCCAGTGCTACAAAAAGCGATGATGACGGACAAGGGAGCGCGGCGAGCCCAGGTCCGGGACGCAATCGCCACGGAGTATAGAGCTGCGCAATCTGTTCATAAGGGGATGCATGAAGAGGTGGGAAAATGGGTACTTCCAGACATTACACGATTGTCCAGAGAGAGAGTGGTTATTGATCTGGACCCTTGAATTCCGGAAAGGACCTTCCGGCGGACATTGCTAGTAACGCCTAGCTCTGAAGTACGTACACTGACCCTGGTCTGGTCATGCTGGCAGGATCTGCATGCCCTGCCTGGGCGTATGCTGCATAGCGGAGTCGAAATTGACTTGCACTCTTGTGAAGTTCGACTTTAAGCCGCTCCGGGGCGATTCCGTCTTGGTAGCGCACGGCAACTAGCTGTGGTGAGCAACGAACGGTACGTACCTATCTTAATAGTCGGTTATATGTGTACGTCTGTGCACCGTAACATGCAACTTGATTGCTCAATGATTTTTCTAGTGACCGCGGCCGCCAGCCGTCAGGCCCGCGGCCAGCTGCGATCTCAGTGGCACGACATGCACGTACAATTGAAGTCTGGTCCTTATAATGATCGGATGACTGAGTGCGCCGCGCACAGCCTCAGCGCTGCAATAATATGATTAAGTTAAGCCATGGTATACATGCATGCATGCCAGTACGCGCGCAGGCAGCGGTCTAGCTGCGGGCGAAGCTATTGCCCTTTGGTCTGATTCAATGATTCAATTGCATGCATTTTAGTGACCAGAACGTATATACTCGCCCGGAGCGGCGCCGCGCGCGCGTTGATTGCATCGCGTTTCACGCACGCAGTATCTGATGGTCAATCGGATATATCCTGACCCAACCATCATATGCCCAACAACTTGATTTGATATATGTAAGTGCACCTGAAATCTCTACAAAATGATTTGTAGGCCCACTGGCAACCCTGACGTGGTCGGAACATGTCTTCAGTGCCAGGATCAGTCACAAGCAGCCGCGCTGACCATCGACTAGGTCAAAGCTCTTCAAGGGAACTAGAGCCGATGTATCCGAGTCCGACGGACTTAGATGCACCTGCAAATGCCACAATCTGCTCTAGACGGATAGGACGGCCAGTCAACTAGCTGATCGAATCCTGTCCAAACGTTAACTCTACGTGTTCTTCTGGCTGGAGGAATCGGCTGGCAAAGACCACACTCGTGACTACCACTATCTTACAAAGCATTGACGGCCGACAAACCTCTATACATATGTACAAACCCACGCACTCCTTCGTGACCACGACTAGCGTGCATTGCACCAAGTGACAGAGGTCACTAGCTAACTCTATACATTTCCACAAACTCCTCGCCCCTAATTGATCAGCAATAGTACATTGTGTTTACCACCTCGCTTGGAATCCCCGGCATTTCCTTCACGGAGGGCGGCCCCGCGCGGCGGCTGGCGGTGCTGGCGGTCGAGCCGGTGGCGCTGCCGCTGTCGCTGTCCACCGGGTCCACGAAGCACCGCGCTTGGCCCGCCGCCAGATGGGCGTAGTACACCGGGGGAACTGGGGACAACAAACGAGACGATCGAGATGCCGATGTCTGGGTGCGGAGCACTTTGCAGCGGAGCAAGAATGGGTGACGCATCTTAGGCCTGTGCTTTGCAACTTACAGCCAAAGGTAAGGGTCATTTGCCGTTCAGCCTAACGAATGGGTCTATCAAAAACGTTTTTCTCCCCGTGTCGATCCGCTGCCGCAGGAAAGATGGATGCGACGCAGTCTTACCGATTGAGACAGCACGCGTGCAGCGCGCGTAGGTGTAGCACAGCGCATTGCTCAGGATCTGCATCTTGTCCGCGGTGAAGTTGTTCTCGTCGAACAAGACGATGTACCGCGTCGGCCGGCTCGTGCCCTGTATAGCGAGCAACACAAACAACGGTGGAACCAGTTCTGCGACCGGCATTTTGATATTCTTGACGAGATTTGATTCACGTCTCGCAGTTTCGACGAGCCGCTCCTATTGTAGCGCACTCGTAACTTCAATCCCAGCTTTGGGTGATGTCGAAAGATGCTTCCCTTCAGGTGACAAGTTTATATCAAACAAAGCATCAATTCGGCCGGCTTGTGTGACGTCAGCTATGGGCTCACCAGCAGTCCCGCGTGGCAGTTGATGAAAAAGTCGAACTGCGTCGGGTGAGTGATGCCGGTGTCCACCACCGTGCCTGCAACACACGGATAAGACACCCTGATCACGATTGGGCCACTGAACTCTGAACCATCGTCTCCTTACGAAGAAGACCGGCAAATGCTAACCGACTCGAGCAAACCAAGATACAGACGAGGGTCGAGGACTCTTCAAACAACAACCGGACTGTTTAAACAACAACCGGACATGCCCTAACACTGCGTTCTTCGCCCCGTACTTCGAGACGTGCGGTAAGATGAAACCATTCCATCCGAAAAAGCAGCCAAAGCACTCTTTCTTAAATCGCAGCTTCAGGTTTTTGGAACCAGTGCGATCTCTGGAGTTGCTTCGAGAGCGCAGGTCGCATCACCTGCTGGCACGTTGCCCGAGCGGTCCTTCGCATCCGTGGTGGGGAAGAAGCGCGTGTGGTGACGCTTCTGGACCACCACGAACGTGATGCGCGGGCGGTAACTGCCGGGGTCGCCCATGCGAGCGCACGCCTGCGTAAATACACCCCCACCTAGTTGCCTCCTCCTTGAATCATTTATTTCAGATACTGCTTTGAGAATCCGTCGAGGTATCGTGTACTGCCTTTTCTTGGTCACATGACTGAGGGCTTTCGATCTACCAGTAGAATCAGCCAAGAAGCAGCAACCTGAAGGGCCTCGCCGGCTCCTGACTTTGAACGACGGGACAGGGGAGGGATTGCGAGTCGTGCAGTGTGTGAGGCTTTTGCTCGGGTCAGAAAGAAGGCCCACCTTGAGCATTGCGTCCAGCTCGCGCAGAAGGACCTGCATGAACTGCCCCTCCGAGACGCCGTCCCTGTACGAGACACGCAGTCCGTAACTGATCAAAGCGACACAAAACTTGAGGCCACATCCTGGATTCTACGAGCTCAATCATCTCCACGAACACCAAGCGTAGGACACCCTCTCTCATTGAGGTCAACGATCTGTGAGAACGCTTTTACAGGTCGAGCTGATGCAAGGCCCTGTACGCACCTCCATGTGAAAAGGCAGGAAACACAAGTTGCGAAGGAACGGCAACAATCGCCCAAACAAATTCGACGGCTTTAAGACGCACCTGTAGACGATGATGTTTCGGGGCTGCGTGCGGGTCGCCTGATAGAAGGCCAGCAAGTGTGACCTGAAAATTGAACGACGACAAGGATAAGACGCGGTGTGCCAGGCGCCGAGATTGCCACCACCGCAAACGGTTTTGCCAGAGGTCATCTCAAGCGGCCCAGCTCATCTTTCCAGATGTGCACCAATCCAGCAAGCGCCGCCGGATGCTCGAGATATAGCTTTTCTTCGACAACGCTCACACGACCGGCAGTCGATTAGGATGAGCATTGTCAAGGGTCTCTCAGCAGTTTTAGCTGGCGCTCAAATCAGCCTCTCATCCGCTATGCTTTCTAGCGTCAGTCTTCTAAAGGTTAAAAGAATCCATGGCGGGCTCACTGGACGTCCTCCTGCAGGCGCTGGATCATTTCGACGTGCTTCTCCTGCGTCCGCACGATAGCGCGGTAGCGACCCTGGTACGGCCAGTCCTGGCTCGCCACCAGCTGCGCATAGCACCGCATAGAGGATCAGCCCAGGTATAACTTTTCAGCTTTGGATTTTTACCAAATCGGAAAATGTCTTATGAGACGCCTCGGATGGCCACATAGAAATGACACATTCAAGAAGGGCAGATTGCCGTCTAGAAACCTTTCAAAGGCATGCGGACGTGACCAGCTGGACTGCTTCAGAGCACGGCCAAGCAATGGGTTGATATGAGGTGGCAATACGCCGAAACTACGTCCACACGCCACCTAAAATCCCCTATCATCAGCTCGCATGCGGGCTATGGTTGACCTGGGCACACCGCACTGTTTTCTGCGGCCCGCCCGGCCTAGGCGGGCGGCTGAGGAGCACGCAAGAGAAGCAATAGAGCCACGAGTGCTTACCGCAGCAATCGATGGAGCGTCGTCACCAGGTCCGGGGTGCTGCAAACACGGTGTTCTGTGTGAGCACTCGGATTGACACTCGAAAATTTGTAAAACCAGTGCGGGGCACAAAGAAGTCGGCTTGATTTTTTCAAAAACGTGGCGGGCAAAGCACACGCGTACGCTTACTAGGCTCTGTATACACCGCCGTGGCGGACGTTCATCAAGTAACGCGTTTCCACTTGCTACGCTGCCAAAAGCATTCAGCGCAGGAGGGTACCGGTAGCAAAGAGTGAGAGGCCGACTCACGGAGACATCCGCTCCAAAAACGATTGTGGGCTCCCCCCGGGGGAAGTAAGTGAGGGTGTCCGGTTGCGCCAGCGCGAAGTTGCAGCCGATGCGCTTGGCCGCCGCTTCGCTGGCCACCTGAGCGTAGGGAGAAGAAAGGGGTTTTTGTTGATTGTAAAGCTGCAGGCTTGACGGAGAGGGCCTGGTTTGGGCTGGTTGGAGAACAGCGGGGTAAAGTTTCATATAAATGAGTATAAAAGTGAGGTTCAACTTTGAAGATTCCGGCTGACTGCTGAAGACATAGACAGCCCTAAAAGGTCAATTCATGCAGGGCAATTCATGCAAAGGAACAGCCACAGCTTGTTCGGCTGCCAACATCTACACTTTTCCGGGCTTGCTTCATGGTAGACGAAGCGAGACTGAAGGTCGGATAACAGATCCAGCGCCGCCCACCTTGACGTTGATCTTGAGCGCGAGGTTGCCAAGGTAGACCGTCCCCGGGTTGTCTACGTGCTTGGCCAGGCAGCCCTGCGTCACGAACCCCAGCTCCGTGATGGACAGCCGCTTCAGGTCGCCTGCAAAGGGCTCACGTTACTGTAAGACATACCGGCCAACGGCATCTTCAAACTCTTGGACCTGCATTTGTCGCCCTCATTTAGCAACTTTTGGACTATCCGTTACGAGTTCGATATGTCGCTTTTCCCGGCAAAAGAGAATGTGTCTCCGACAAGTAGGAGCCTGTGTCGCTAAGAAACTGACGCAAGTAAAAGTATGAATGAATACTGCGAACATCCCCACCGGCCTTTCAAAGGGCATATTGCAACCAGAATGGTGAACCGACGCCCTCCACCCCTCCCCTCTACTCGAATGCCATGTCTCTCACAAGCTTTTGCACCAATCAAAAATGATGTAATGAGCAGATGGAAGATGAAAAAGAAAGACAATTCAGCGAAGAGAAAAGCAAGAGCAGAAACGAGCATGGTGGGCAGTGGGGATAGCGCCCGGCCATACCGTAGAGCCCGGGGCTGGTGAAGGGGAAGATGCAGACGACGAGCTGCAGCGGGTTCGGCTGTGCGGCGTTGACGTCCGCTTTGAGCTTCTGCAGCGCGCGGCGCAGCGCCCCCAGGCTGCCCGTGTCGCGGCTGGATACCACGCGGGGAGGGACGGACGGCGCGGCCGGCATGCGCTGGGGAACAAACGAGCGGAATGAGGGCCAAGCCACGTGGTCATGAATGACAAAGCAGACACGGAACCGAGCGTCCAGGCTCTCACTCAACTGTTGGGGGCAACCTTCCCAAAAGGCAAACTTCTATGAGTTGAAGTGTAAACAGTGTGCGACTCTGTCCGGAGGGACACCCTCCCAAATCCATGAGTATCAGCATAAGGACCCAACGAGGCTGCCGGAAAATTGGTCCAAATTCAGTCGCTCAAGAGACGACTTCCGCTCAGCTTTGCAGCGGAATGCCTCACCATCCCCAGCTGGTTGCAGCGATTAGCCAGGCTGGCGGCAAGGTGGGCGGCCACCGCGTCGTGCACCGCCTCAAAGTTGAGGACGGCCCAGGCGTGGATAACGACGCCCTCAGCGAACACCGCCTGCGAATAAGCGGGGCAGGTTGGCTTACACGGAACAAAGGAAACCCGTGCAATGTTCTTTCGAACCGTGGAGCATCCGCCTGCCAATCCATTCCAAGTTTGACTCTTGCGTTTGTTATCCTTTTTCGAAGACCCTGGTCTACTTCTCTCAAGCTCAGGCTTGCAGACAGGATCACGCAACACGGTTTCTAATCTTCGAGAAAGGCTAGAGTTGTTAAGAATTAAATCAGAACCAAAAGGGGGATGCAGCAGCCACGTAAGCTCACCCCTTTGTCTTGCCTGGACCACTCTCCGGCGCCTTGCCCGGGCTGCACCCGGCGGTTCCGTCCATACATCAGCTGCACCGATGGCAGAAAGAAGCGTCGGCGAAATGCTTTAAGAAGTCGTTGATGCTACTAGACGCTTACCAGCACAAGGTAAAAATTGTCAAGGAACCGTTGAAGTTTGGATGGTGAGGAGGTCTACCACTTTCTTCAACGACCCATAAGCTTCTCCGAGATCGCGGCTTCCCGTCGAGATCGAAACACTTGCAGAGCAACAAGTTGAGCCGAAGGTCGGGGTGGCTTTGTTCGACGATACAAAAGACGGACGCCAAATGGGCAGCAGAAGTCCTGCCTCCTGCGTACCATTCCAACTGCCAATTTGTGTGCAGAGCTCAACAATTCGCAATGTAGCACTCACGGGCGGCGGCGGGAGGATCCTGCTCTCCACCTCCATCATGCGGGTGTCCACCGAGATCCCGAACTCGCGCGCATACTCGTCGTTGGGATAGGCGTTCTGGTTGAAGGTCTGCACGCAAAACAAGTTGCTTTAGCGGTGGTTGCATGCAGATTTCAAACTAGCAAGCCATCGTGCAATGGGCTAGGGGACCACGGCCAACAAAGTCCAATAGTTCGAGACTGAAAGCATTCCCAAACAGTAAGTGTACCACTTTTTCTCCGAGCGGAGGTGTGCCAAGGAGTGGGAAAGACATTGTGGCCTCGACGTGCCAACAGCTTGTGAGTGAAATCTGCCGCTAGAAACGCCAATCTGCGCTTGGATCTGCGCTTTGGATGGTACTAGGTACCCACCTGCTGAGTCGCCTTTTCGCGCTCGGGCGGCCGCTTTTGGGTGATCTTGAGCATATTGCGGATCTGGTTGTCCGACAGCTTGCGCGGAAAGCGTTGGCCGCCCTGGATGCGGCAGACCTGGCCAGACAGTGGAACAGGATGAGTCCGACGTTCACGTACCAACTTCCCCATCGTACTAAACATGGAAAGATGTTCCAGGGTTCGCTCAGCCAGGAAAGAAGTGGGTGTGTTCCTTGATTGAAAGAATCACCTGACTTTCGCAATGCTACACAGGTGCGCTTGCATCGCCGGCACTCTCGCAGGACATTTTCCCGGGAAAATTTGAGAGAGGAGAGTCGCTGCGTCCGCCGCATCTCACGTAGCCTCGTGAAACTCCCAATGTAGAAATAAGAACGGAGACCAAGCAAGCGACGGAAAGGATGTAGAGCTCACCTCGAGGGGGAGGTGCGCCCGGTTGGAGGCGGCGATGACGCACGGCAGATTGGGGTGCTGCAGGCGGTACCCGTAATGGGCCTCGAAGTACTGCGCCACGCTCACCTGGCCCTGGCCCTCCAGCTCGAACCTGCGCGCGAGCCACGCGCTCGTGTCAGAACGCAAGAATAGCTCCTGTCTGATGGAATGATAGACAGCGGTCCAAACTGTGAAAGATTTTACCAGCACGTTTCAGTAATGAGTCCAGACCCTCCTTGACAGAACCCGTTCTTGTTCCTAATGTTGGTCTCGAATCGCCTCGAGCTGATAACGACTTCCATCAATGTGGGCGGCTGAGTCTATCAAGCGATACAGAGAGACAGCTCCGGGATCATTCTTATCGATTTGAGAACGGGCAGTGTGCTAATGAGAGGTGTCTCTTCCAACCACAGGTCAAGAAGACAAGGCTAATGAAGAAAGGCGCGGACAACGAAAGGAAGATGAGTCTCTGCAGGAGCGGACTGTCTCACATGGTCTGCGCAGCTGACGTGCGCGAGATGTCGTGCACGCGGTACTGGCGGCGGCTGTTGGGGTTGTGCGTCACTTCCACCTTGACGCCCTTGAGCATCTTCTTTATCTGCAGGACAAGACCCGATGCGTCAGCTTCAGTGCTATGTCGGATTCTCCACTAACCCCGCCCGCGCGAGCTTTTCCTTTGCTCGAATGAGACAGGTTCGTCACATCAACGTGCGGCGTTGAGATTCTTCGCGATAAGGTAAATTCTTCAATCGAGACGGAGGTCTGCGAACTTGGGTGAGTGTGACTTCGCCGTTTTGCCGACATAAGCCAGGTTGTCAAATTTCGAAGCCTATACTGAGGTTCAGCGTTCGTATCATCCTCATATGCTTCGCATGACTCGAGTCCTAGAAATTCTGATGAATATGATTTTCCAATTTACGGACGGACGAAACCTTCGACTAAGCCAAGAAGAAGAGAGCGCTGATCCTCGAAACCGTCGAGGCAAGGACCATGAGAAGAACACGGTTGAAAAACCTTCAGGCAAAAGAGCCTTGGCAAGGGTCAAGTCGATCTCTGCAGACAATCAAAAGGAAAGTCGCAAAGCACGTGAGACATGGGTCGTCCGTAGGCCTGACCTTGAGGCGCTCCGCATCCGAGGCGGCCCGCGCCCGGCTCCAGTTGCGGCCCAGCACTTCGCCCACGTACTGCAGCACGGGCACCGCCTGGTAGAACGCCGTCGTGGACAGGTCTGCGAACGAGAGCGATGGCGGAAATCTCTGTTTCAAGCTCTTTAATTCGACAACGATAACCCGCTTAACGTGGGAGTGATCTGACCAGTATCACCTCGATCACCAGAGACCGCACCAACGCCCACAATGGAGACCGAGGCAAAGAAATTTTCCAAATACTCTTATTCTTTTTTGCAACACAATTGCCTTTGGTCCGCTTTAAATCTGACGCTCTATTTAAGTGGCTGCTAGAACGATCGACTATTGGATAATGCAGATCTGCATATGGAGCGAGAACGAAGTCTAACGAAGTTGGACCCTGTCGATGTGAGCGGATTAGACAGTTTTCCACCTGTGGATAAACACCCCATGCGAAGCCCTGTAAAACAAACAAGGTGTGCAATAGGGTGCCCACAGACGCATCCGGCCCGGCTTACCCAGGTTCAGCGCCAGCCCGCTCACGGTAGGTCGCACCGACTGGTAGTAGCCCCGCCAGGCTTCCAGGCCCGCCCCCAAGGCAGCTTCTCGGAGGAGGTTGGGCTGCGGCGGACGGAAGAAGGAGCGGCCCACGGGAGTGTCCCTGGAATAGCGTTGAAAGACAGATAATGGTTCTTGTGTGGATACCTCATGCATATGTCAGTTATCAACCAAATCCAAGGCAGAGTCCGATTATACATTGAGTGATGCACTAAATACTCAATATCAGCAAATAGGAAGAAAAAACTGGTTTGACAAGAAGAGTTGGGAACCTCTGATACTTTAGCAGATTATGCTGAAACTAGGCCAATGCATTGGCACACGGAGAGGGAAACAGGTATTGCCTTCTCGTTCTGGCCGTGTGCCATCACAACACGGCAAATCTTCCAACCAAAAGTCTGTGAAAAATGCGTCAGTCTCTGACTGATTCGTTACTTTTTGCAGATCCAACAGCTCCCACTTTCTACTAGAACGCCCTCTTGACACTTTGCGTAAAAGTTCCTCGCAATCTGAAATGCAGGACGTTCTACCACCAGGATCACGAGACCCTCGTGGAGCTTCACCTGTGGGTGGGCGTCTCGCGCAGGACTGTGTCCAGCGCGTTGATCGCATCCTGTGGAATGTCGTACTGCTGGTATGCCTGCTGCAGCAGCCGCGACATGTCGATCCGGCCAGCCACGACGCCCGTGATCACCACCTTGAAGCGCCGCTCTCGGCTGCAAACAACCAAACCAAGTGGGAGGGTTTCACAATGGATATCAATCCACGAAATACAAGTAGCAAAGCTTCATGAGTGTTTAGTGGACGCGCCATCGATGTTTGGTATGTCTGATTGATCAATGAGGTTCTTGGAAAGACAGGGTTGCAAAAGCGTCAGGAGGCAACTTAGCTGCACTATTGGCTGAAAGTGGACCCTACAAAGAAGTGGACTCTGCTATGCATGCAGCAATATATGCGGGGATGCCCAGAAAGCCAACTGATTGTTTCATGTATTGAACAGGCTGATTAGAAGCAATTGGCTTCCAAACACGTGGTTGTAAGTGGAACAGGATCAACACACTGGGGAGTAAGATATCCTGGATTGGAAGTTTGTCAAAGAGCCCTTGGCATACTTCTTCTCCTTGCAGAATCACAGTCAGTCGAAAGCCTTGATTGGAGATGGGACCAGGTTCGAATGAAAGCGCTGTACTTTTATCAGCAGGCTTAGCCTCGCTGAACGTCTCCAGTCTCTCTGTCAAAAGAACAAATCAGAACTCTCCTCATGTGGAACTCCCAGGACAAAGAAGGATACCCAAAAACACTTGCAGCAAACCTGCCCAGGCAGGAATGCGTCCTCTCAAATCTTAGCACTAGATGTAATGAGATAATCTGCATCTTTAAAAGTGCCCCTTACCCCGGCTGGCCGTCCCTCTCCGGCAGCACCACCTCAAACTCGTTAATCTCCTGCGGCAACTGTTTGGCCGTGAACGCAATTTTGTTGCCGTCAAAGGCCAGCAGGCAGTTCCCCAGCCCCGAAACCCTCTGGGTGGACTGCAGTTGTTGCATGATGGCGCGGCGGACACCTTTGGAAGACACTTCGCCGTCACCGCGAGAAGGGGTCTCCCGGATGACCACCTGCGCAGATAAGAGGTGCGTATGCTTAGTTCTTCTTTTCAATTGTACGTGGCATAATCCTGCAAGATTTTGTCCATGTATGCATTGTGCGTTGTACTATTTTCTATAGAGAAGAGACGCAAGGGCAAACGTTCCTTGGTTCATGTAAGTAATCCCATCAACCTGCCTTGAACCTGAGGTCGCCACTGTTGTTGGGTTGTGCCACACGCGGAAAGGATCAATGACAATGTATGTATTGTGCCAGGGCCGCTGCAATACCAAAACTCAAGTTGGGCTACTGAAATAAAGCCCCTTTGTCTACACAAATCAAGCTTTCAACAGGGTTGTGGGCATACTTACATCGTGCTGGTATAGAAACTCCTTGTTGCACTTGGCCAGAAAATAGTTCGTCCGCACGACAGCCCGCTGCCCCACTGATCCAAACCCGGGCCGCCTCATTAGAGTAACTCCCTTGAGACTCTCCGGCACCTCAAATGGTTTCTCGCCCTCCGATCGTCTCTGGGTCCCATGTGCCAACGAGAGTTGCCCCAGCTCTTTTTGTGCTTCCGCAGCCCCGCTCGTTGAAGCCTGCATTGCCTCCCCTTGTGGCATTGCAGCTGGGGGGGCTCCGCTAGCTGCAACAGCACCCCCCCCAGACGGTTGTGCACTCAAGACGCCCATTTCCTCCCTTTGTATGATGGCAGGTCCTCCGGCAGGCCGGTTGCCCTGTCCTCGCCCAGGGGAGGGGCCTCTCCCCCGCCCCCGCCCCTGCCCCCGCCCCCGCCCTTGCGCCCCCCCAGCATTGGGGTTTGTGGGAGGTGCCGGCCCTTCGCCGCCGGCTGGTGCCCCTGCTGCCTTCTTTTTCCTCGGCATTGCAACGACTTGCACACGAACAGGTCTTTTAGCAGGGTTGACTGCGAAAGGCAGCTTGCATGCGGACCTGGAGGCGGCTGATCAGCACCAAAGAGCTGAGAACCGAACGCGGAATTCTGCCTAGCTCACCTTTGAAGCTTTGTAGCGATCAAGGGGGAGCACCCTGTGCAAGCTCCGCTTCCCCGCGCGAGCAACAGGCTAGCGTGAATTTCACGCTCAGACGTCGACATATTTTCGATCTTGGAAGTTCGTTGCCTTGGCGTCCCACCATATTCACAGCCATGCAAACCTGTCTCAAGTACCGTACTGTAGCCTTCCACTGGAGTCTGGGTGTGGTTGTTTTGTTTAAAATTGTACCGGTGGTAGTATGGCAGTGGTACGCTTCAAAGTACATAGTACAGTAGCTAGATACGTTTTGCACGAGTGAAACTGTCACGTTTTACAACTGCTCAAGATCAACGATTCGAGATTAATTTCATGCAACCAAGTGGCTGTCTATGCCGTCCGATCTCACACTAACGTGGTTCGAACGGATGAGGAATCACGTGAACCCATCCTGTAGTTGTGGAGGGCACCGGGCTGACACTTAGGTGGCTCTATTTTGCATCAGAAAGGCTCATGAGGGTCCACATGGACGTTGGTATCAAAATCAATGATTCTCAAGTTGTACCGCTCTGACTGAACTGTCACTGCCATACTCACTGTACGGAACTACTTTGCCTTGTTGTAGTATCTTCACACAGAAGCTTTGGCTTTGCGTGATATTCCAAGCTGACTTTCAGCTAGATTTGCGCTGTCATGGTGTGCTTTTTGCACAGCTCACGCTAGCAAAAAGCGTCCTTTGCATCGGTAGAACATTGAATGCACGCACGAGCATCAACCGTACTAGTGTTTCCTTTCTTCCTTGTATAGCACCTCAGAGGCACCAGCTTCTGTAGCAAAGCTCAGGAGAGGTAGAGCTTGATCGCATGCGCTTAGAGGGAGAGACATCTAGTGGACTTTCAAACGAAGAGCTTTTCCTTCACCTTGGAAGGTGGAGTAGTCGCCTACAGCTCACCTGGTGAATGATGTGAAGGAAAAGATCGCCATCTCTTTGCAGGGCTCCCAACGAAGCGTGATCGCAAAGGTGCTAGCTGTTAGAACTTCAGCTCTAGATTCACCACCTCGGAAACCTAGAAGATCCTTCCGGCACGTACATTGCACATGTCGACTCTATCCGTGCCAAGAATCGCATAGGCTCTGTAAGTCAACAGAAACTCAGTCCTTAGCAGGTCTTAGCGTTGCTGTCATTTGTCCCACCTTGGACCAAGGGCCAACAAGCTGTGATTGATACTGCTTTTGCACAATGACACCACTAAGAGCTGCTAAGCTGACCTTTCTGGGAGTTGTAGGTGAGTCTCCTCTGATCGACCACTTTCTCATGACACGCAATCTTGGACCTAAACTCATGGATGTACTACATGAAGCGGTCCTTTTTGCAGGCTTTGAATACTTTGCATCGTGTGGTGTGGTTGGTGGTGGTTGCTCAAGGCAGCATCTCTGACATCTTTCCACCTTGAAAATGTGCAAGAAGCTTGATCTGGAGGATCACAGGAGCACATTTCAGTTTGCATCAACAATTGCCTGAGGAATCCGCAAAGTAGAGTAAAAAGCTCTATCCAACTAAGTACTGACACTAACTGTGCCTCCCCGCCCTTGTTTGATGCAGCTTCTTTATCTTTGGTCTCTGCTGGTTATAGTGTACAAATAAGTGGAGGCCCTGTTGGAGAATTGGTGTGCAAGCAAGCATCCTGCACGTGAGAAACCTGTAATCCAGTAACAAGCAAAGACAATATGGCAAGGCTCGTCTTCCAGCTGCATTGCTTCCACACAAATGTGTGTCCAATTTCTGACAAAGTCGATTATTCCACAAAGTTTCAATTGATGTATGTAGATCTTTACCCGTATGGAAAGGTTTTGTTGGAAGAATGTTGTGTTTGAAATGGCTGAGTTTGATGCCGTCCTGACCGTTGACACAATCTGCTATATCCAGGAACAATGTCTATCCCTGGACTTTTCCACAACTGCTGTATTTGCTCTTTCCAGGGATGTAACGGTACAATTAACTACGGATCAGCTGTCGCTGTTCTATTACCAATTTAGTGGGGACAGCGTCTTTGCTGGTCTGAAATGGCAGCAAGTGCCAACAATGGTGTTTACTAAGACGACGCCGCTTGTTCTGAGGAATGTGTCACAAGGCCACCAGCTACTGCAGGTGAGCCAATTGGGGTTCTTGAGAAATTTTTGCAGATCATTGGTAAGTAAGGAGGCCTCTACCAAGTCTGATGAAGACCTTGTCACATAACAGATTGTCCAGATTAGAGGCAGAAACCTCCAGGAAGGCAGACGCCTACCAGCGGCAGGGTTGGGTTCTTGGACTCCTTTGCTCCTTGATTTTCATCGCCGCATATATCAAGTGCATAGCTAACCTGTGAGTGGCAAACTGGCCGTTGCAGGTGAAGGCCGTCAACTTGAACAAGCAAGAGTCCAGTGTCGCGTCCTTTGAGTGGGACCAGACGTACATCTTGCGCTACACCAACTATCAACTGTACTGGCCAAATGACAACACCCCATACGTTCCCGGCCTGTTGCGGCGTATGTCTACTCTCACCCCAACCAACGCCGCGGGCCCCCCTGTGTCGGTCTGGGATTACCCTGTCCCGCCGCCAGCGAGTCCAGCCACTTTGGTCGAGCAGAGCGGCGTGCTCCTTTCATGAGCCCTTCTCTTGACAGCCGGGAACAAGTATTCTCTTTTAAGGTAGGAGCAGGGGGCCAAGGGGACATTTATTGAGATTGGTCATCAGACCGATAGGCAACATCGTTGTTGCTCCTGGCCAATGCAAGTGTTTGGGCAACGTGTGAAGAAGCCGCGGCGGCTTGTGGCTGGCAGCTCGGATCGAATTGTCTGATTCAAAGCTCCAGGCTAAGCGCGTTGGCCACTCCCCCAAAATTGCGTGATTTTCACATCGAGCGCGAGAGATGTACGTTTGCTTGTCAACCAGCGTGCCCGCTAATAGTATTGATCGATACCGACGGCTTGTAGACTTGCACCCAAAAGACCGCGCCTAACGCAGGAAGTGTACGATATACTCGGTGAATCATATCGTCCGGTGGAGCTACTGGCTCTACGTTCCAAGGAGGTCTAATTTTGATTTTGATTGAAAGGCATTCATCGGACAACTTACTAACAGAGGGTAGGAATCCTTCAGATCGGCCTTTTTCGAAATGAGTCTTGTAGTATCCTTTCTCACATGTTTGAATGTCCATAATTCAGCTGGATCTCAGAGCGAGGCCCAATTCTTAGCTCATACACTGACAGCGCCCATGCAACATGCTAGGCGGCCGCGCCGTCCATCCGATGATCACTGGTAGATTCATGATTGAAAGCTCCTGCTAGACGGGCCGTCAAGTTTGGAAGTCCTCAGCTAACTAGCAACTCGAATTATGAATATTTCACAATGTCTTTATGCAGTTACCAACGTGTAATGCTTATACGTCAGGTAATATAATGCAGATCGAGGATCCCCTAGCTTGATCGACGGTCACCACGTGGCCGCCGGCCCGCGCATCGAATCATTGCAAAGGATCTTACCGTCTGGTCGTTGAGGATCTCTCATGGGCCGTGATCGTGACCTCGATATCTAGTCCGACTCGACCCTACAGTTAAGCCAACAGTTGAACAACATCAATCTCCTAAGCTAGCTGGCATCGACGTCTAGCATCGGCACCTCAAGCCTAAACTAAGCTGTCTGCCACACGAGTGACAACGTCAAATGTGATCTATAACGCTTGAGGGTAATTTGCATGCATGCGAAGTCATTCAATAATCAAGCCTGGCAACAAAACATAGCACGGCTTTTGCATTATGATTCAACTACTGACACCGAAAGGGGTTCCAAACAATGCACCCAAGGCCGGTATAAAACCACGTTCGTCCGGTTACAGCTAGCTCCATCCTATTTGCTGCTCGAACGTTCAATCTTCAGTAGCGTGACTGCCTGAAGCTCCCCCTTGTCGAATCATGTATTCCGTTTGCTGTTGCGCAATGATCTCCTTGGTTCCGTATCAGTAAGCCTCGTTTTTCTTGTCGAGGACCGATCCTGAACTAGCTGGTCCGACTTCGCCTCCCGCGGCGGCGCCTGCTTGCCTCGCACCTTCTCAGCCCCTCGTGTTCCTGTCCTCGGGTCCTTCGATGGTAGCGTCGCCGCCCGACCCTCTTGCGTTGGCGGCCTTTTCCGCTTTTTCTTTCCGGACGGCACTCCTCCGCCTTCCCGCTTGTCTCCCGCACGCAAACTGCGTTCCTGCTCCGGAACTCGCTTCCCCGCGGCCTCTAATTCCCCCTCTCGCTCGCGCACTTTTGGCACCCCCCAGACCGCCGCCTCTGCTCGCCCCTTCCTCCCCCTTGTTTCGCGCCCGCCCGGCAGCTTCCCGTCAGGTGACGTCACGTCGTTGCCGGGTTCGGCATCTGCGGCAGTCTTCTTGGCTCGTGTCCGCTTCTCGGGACTGCGCGCCGGCGCGCATACCCGCCCATCGATTTCTGATTCTTCCGAACATTCTGAACCTTCGGTACCCGATACCTCGTCTATGTCTGCCGACCCCAGTCTACTGGTCCGTTGACGTGGTTTGCTCTCTTTCTCTTCCCGGACGTCTACCCCAGTCTCCTCTCCTGCACTACCCCCGTCTCGAGAAACTCTCCTCAAGGATCTCGTAGGCGACACGCTTTTCTTCCCATTCTCGTCCCGCTTTCCCGGTCCAACCTCCCCAACCCCACCGTCCCTCTTCTTTCCTTCGCCCCGCTCTCGTTCGCTTCGTCGTGTCCCTCGCTCCCCACTCCTTGTCACGCGTGCCGCGTCCTGCATGTGTGTGCTCCTCGTCATACGCCCCGGCTCCTTATTCTTGTCCAACTTCCCTTTCACTTTTCTTCCATCTTTCTTCTCCCCCGCTTGCACAATCGTTTCGTTGTTACCTTTCGCCCCTTCCACTCTCCCCTTCTTCCCCCTCCTCTCTCCCGGCCCTTTCTCAGCACCTTCCCTCGTCCCTCCCCTCTGTTGCTCGTCACCTTCTTCTCTCCGTCGTTTCCTCGTGCTTGTGACCAGTTCCTGGCGACTCCGGGTCACCCTGACCACCTCCGTCCCTTCTTCGGTCCCCGTTCCTTCTTCCACCTTTCCCCTCTTGGCAGGCCTCCCTTGGCTGCCCTCCGGCTCCGCCGCGCGCTTCCTCCCTGCCTTTTTCCGCTTCCCTTCCGTTGCGTTCCGTTCCAAATCGTCAGCCCCCGAGTTGCCGCTTCTCTCTGTCACCGGCCTCCCCACAGCCCTAAGCCGCTGAGAGCTTCTTCCCCCGGGGCTTGCCCCCTGGGCTCTGCTTCCGCGAGCTTGTTCCGCTGCTTCCCCGTCCGCTCTTTTTTCCGCTCTTTGATCGCCCCCCTTCCGAGCCCCCCGACCCACCGCCGCTTTCTTTTTCGCATCCTTCTTCCCTCGCGTCGCTCCCCGCTGCGCTTTCCCGTCCGCTTGCACGGCCCCCTTCTTCGCTGGCCCCACCCGCACCCCAACTCTCGCGCCCCGCCCTCCTTTCTTTTGTGCACCTTTGCCGGTAGCAGTCCCGACCCCCTCGTCTTTCCTGACTTTCTTCGAAACTGGTCGCTGCACTTTTGCCCTCCCCACTTGCGTTTCTTCGCGGCCCCCATGCGCCGCGGCTTTCCTTCCCGTCCCTTCCGCCCCTGTCGCCGCATCTTCCTCCGCCTTCTTCCGCTGCTTCGCCTCTTTCTCCGCTTCTTTCTCCCGCATCCGTTTCGCCCGCGCTTCCTCCCTTTCTCTCCTCAATGTCTCCTTCATCGCTTCTCTTTTCTTTTGCGCCTCGTCTCTTTCTTGCTGTAACCTCCTTCGCGTCTCTTCCCTCGCTCTTTTCCGTGCCTCTTCCTTCCGTTTTCGCTCTTCCTCCTTCCGCTGCCGCTTCTCCTGTCGCTCCTGCTCCTTCCCTAGCCGCGCCGCCACCCGCTCCGCCGCCGTGCCGTTCCTCTCTTCCGCTGCCTCTCGTTCCGCCCGATCCGCTGCACGGCGCCTCCTGTCTTTCTCCCTTCTCTGCGCCAGTCTCTCTTCTAGGGTGAGCTTTGGTTTCGACACTCTGACGGCAACGGGTCCTCGCGGCGCCCCTTTGGCCCGAGCCCCTGTTCGCTGGTCGCCTCTTATTTGACCTACTCCTAAATGTCCGTTTGCTTGCGCTATAACTGGAGGGGGTTGGCTTGCAGTCACCGGCCGTGCTACGGGAATGACCGGCCTGCGGAGAAACGAAGTTGAATTCAGCATGCGAATGCCAAACCTTGCGCAAAAAATCGAGGGCGACCTACCTGGTTAGCGAGACTTCTGGAAGAATAGCACATTGTCCCCGACATGGATCAAACTCTTCCTGCGTTGAATTGGTTCTTCCGATAGTCAGGCCCGCCCAAGTGACTGCCATTCAAAAGTTGACAGTTGAGTGTAAGAGCTTCCGGCAAGAAAGGCAACTTCTTCAATTCACGAGTTGAGGTTGCTGCAAACAGATTGTAGAATCTCGGATTGATACAGAAATCTCAATTCGAACCGAGATTGATTAAGAAAGCCAGCTCTCTAGTCCCCCCGACACACACTCCAACTCCCAACGTTCTCAAAAGTAAAAAAGCAGCCACTCACTGCACATGCCGCTGCATAAAGTGCACGCTCTTCCCGTCGACCACCGCCGCGGGTTTCCCGGTCCGCCCCACGTGCGTCGGCTGCACCTTCTTCGCATGCACCAACCGCAAAACATTTGAAAGCCCCGGTTCCAAAGGCGGAGGAACCGCCTTTGAGAGCGCCAGGGGGGGCGGTAGCCGGCTCTTCCCCGTCTTTCTTATTCCCGCCGTTTCCTTTGCTTGCTTGGGCTTTCTGCCCCGTTTCGAATGACTGATCTCTGTGATTTTCTCGCGCGGTACGATGGCGGTCTTTCGCTTGGCCTCCCGGGCTTGAGCTGCTTCGCGCCGGCGGATGAGGCGCGATGCGTTCGAGTCGGCGACGGTCAGTTGTAGCTCCGGGGGGGCAGCGGGCGAGGGAACGGTGGTGATTGGCTCGATCATCTTGTTAGTAACTAGGGCTTCGTAGTGCCTGCACGGGGAAAAGAGTGGATCCGTTAAGAACGCCTTCAGCCTAAGAAATATGGCGGACGTAGAGGTAAAGCGGGCAGCAGGAAAGGAAGTTGGGCTAGAGCACGCTTTCTGTGCCCATGCAGCCGACAGCAGCAGGGACAGAAAGATGGAGCCAAGGGCCAACAGGCCGTCTAACCGGCCGTTACACTCGACGAGATCACTTCCGAGCTCCGCTGACTGGCCTCGTCTAACAAAATAACTCGTTAATATAGTCCAGGTAACCAAGCCAAGTCTGACACGTCGGGTATGCCGACAGCCCTGGAAAAAGCAATCCTGGACAGAGCAGACACCACTCCACGCTCGAATAGCCCGAGACGCTACGCCCAACAAGCATTTCACCATTTGCTGTCCAGCGGCGCATCCTCACTTTCGCAGCCTATCGTCGGTGCGCTTGAGCGGCCGCCCCGCGTTGAACTCGTCCGCGAGCTGCGCCCACTTGCCCGCCCCTAGTTGCCGCACCAGCGCCTCCAGCCGCGCGTCCTCCTCCGCTGTCCAGGGGGACTGGTCCACCGACGGGTCCAGCACGTTCACCCACCTGCGATCGCGTCAGCGGTGACGTCAGCCGATTGGAGCAGGAGTTCGTGCTGACGTCATGCATGATATCAACGAAAATTACGGGCCCTTCCGGCGACTTTGAACGGGAGGTAAAGGAACGCAGGGCCACCATTTCATCCATTCTTCCCTCAAATCTTCACACCAACATGCTCACGACAAATTGAGAGAAGGAACCAGAAAAGACCAGGCTAAAAGACCAGGCTTCATAGAAAGGGTTGACCAACTGCAAAACCTAGCTTTTGCAAACAGGAAATTCGAATTCCTCCCGAATCTGCTCATGCCAGTGCCCACAGATACTTTGTTGTATGCACAGATCCCACTGGTCAGCACGAAGGAAACAGCTCATACATCTCACATCTTTCTGTATCGGAGATCAATGTGCAAGCCCTTGCAAATCATTCTGTGATACGTGTCGGGCTCACCTCTCCCTGCACTGCGGGTCCGTCCTTGTGCCCACGACTTCGGCGACGTGGACCCAGGAGGTGGTGCCAAATGCCGCCACTGCGTAGCGCAGCCGCAGGTTTTCCTCCTCCGTCCACAGCTGCTTACGCACGGGGCCCAGCCTGGAGAAATAAGCGCGGGCGTTTAAAAGGAAGGGGAATGACATTGTAAGCACGTGAGGGCGTATGAACGCAAGCAAAAAGTTTTGCATTTGTAGGGACGCCTTCTTAGCAGATTCTCCTCGGCGACCTGTTATCATTGTCTCATTTGTCAGTATGTCGGTGGATTCGAGACTGTGCACAAGATTGCACTTTGCTGAGGAACTGCTCGTTGACGAGCTATCGAAACGAGCAACCGTCAACAGACTCTCTGGTGGCACCAGATTTCATGGAAGAGCCTGCTCCAGAAGAGCAGAGAAGAAGAACACGATGTTCCAGATTAACCGTCCGTTGGGCGACAGATCACCAAGGAACACCCAGATACATAAGAAACGCGCTTGCTCACTTGTGTCTCCATTGCGCTGGTGGCCGTCCAGGCCCGCGGCGTTGCGCTGGCTCCGGCCGGCTTTCCATGTCGGGTACCGGTGTGCCAACTACGCCAGAGGATTCACAGGCACTGCAAAACGGGAACGCGCTCGGGTGAACAGACTCCAAGCCAGTAGCAGCACTGCGCCTTTAAACGCCAAAATCATGTTGTTTGAGCCTCTTTTTGAATCCTTTGTCGGGATGTGAAACATTTCGAAGCACTTTTAGCGCTACTGATTCCTTATCCTGGGGCCCGAGGACATGGACCCCCGACTTCCACGTCTGAATAGATCCACGACCGGAAGCGGTTCGTATCATTTCTTAGAGAGCAGGCACGAGCAAAGTGGACTTGCGAACGAGTACCGGCGCTTGGCGTTTTCGTGCCAGAGGCAGTAACAATCAACAAAGCGATATTCTGCTGACTGGCAGTAGGCAGTCCAAGTTCTTGATCGACAATATTGCCAGCAATCTGCTTATGATCACTGTCTCTTCGTGTTACACCCGGTTGATCGACGGCTCAAATGGCACCTCACAAAGCTGAACTGCGACTGACAAGAAAGTAGCACGAAAGCGTGAACGGGAGTTTCTTCTAGGTTGGCATCTTCTGAAAAGACGATGCACCATGTAACGTGGCTCGCACGAGAGCCTTACCTTGGCTCGGGCCTCTCTTCTCGGAGGTCTCGTTGGTAGTGCATCAAGCACGCCGCGGCGGTCCTCCCAGTCCCCAGCTCCGCAGCAACCGACACCTGAAAGCAAAGAGATTTAATATCAAAAATGATGTCCAAACAATCATTTGGAAGATTCTACGCGGCTGTACACGTCGAGCGGAGCACGATTATGTTGGGGACGTGAGACATATTTCGAAGCTTTTTCGAACTTGACTTCCATGCATCTCGAAAGCCGAGGCTAACAAATTTCGTCGTCTAAATTTTCAGATCACGATAAGATGCAGTCTTGATAGCGGAGAAGCCAGAAGCACCGGACTGCAGCTCTGCATTCTGCGGGCGCGTCGGAAGACAAGACTCAACAAGGAACAAACCAACGCATGAGGACGCAGACACGGAAATACGTTCTTAAAATCTGCTCACCCAGTCGTGTCCCTCGTGCTTAGTCACGAGCTCCTTTAGTTGCTCGTCCTCATCGAGGGTCCACGGACCGCGGTTGATCCCCGGAGCGCAGTCGGCGGTCCAACTGCACGTGCAATTTTTTTTCACCAGCTAAGAAGCAAGAGCACTGAGTTCGCATCCAGCATACAACAAGCGAGGCATGGGATCTTTGTGACACGTCTGGATGTCTAGCCTCCCTGTTCCGTAGCCAGGACGCAACGTCTGGTCGATTCTAGCATTGAACTGAGTACGATTCAAACGAACGACATCTATTTCGTGTCGGACACAGCAGCTAAGCATACTCGAACTCAGTTTCGTGTTGAGCTTGAAAAAGAGCGGCGTCAAGCTCACCAGGCTTGGCAGTCTTCCGCCGTCTTCCCGACCAGCTTTGCTTTCGTCATCACGTTCTCCCAGTCCAAGGTCGGAAGCGCGGCCGTGATGTCATCATCGGTCACTGGGCGCTGCCTCATCTGAGCCATCCCACTGTGCAGTGCGCTCAGTGACACGCCCGTGCCTTGTTCGCGCCCCTCTCTGGAAACGTAGAACATTTCGTGAGCCCGGTGTGCCTTTTCGTTTAAAGGGACAAGTCGTTGAACAAAGCAGCCACCATGCCACTTTCGAGCTTTGCAGTATACTTCGGTAGTATGGCAAACGTGGTGACGGCCCAGTCACACCATTTGTGTGACCCCTAAGGGAACTGGTGACCATCAATTTGTCAAAAGATTGGTCTCTTTTCTTATGGCTCGATGAGCTTTCTTCTGTTTCATAAATGTTTCAGATAACGATAGCTGGCAACGTTGCAATCATTGATGCCATTTCTGATGGCAAAAAACGCCAAAACGGGACGATGGTTTCGCCGGACTCCATGAACCATGACGCCCTTCCTTTTGAAACGACTCAGCCACGGCCACGGAAGCCCCTTGTCGAACAGGCGCATCGTTACGAACCGGCAACCGGTCAACACTATATGTGCCTTGAGTGATCAGACGGCGGGTGTGTCAAGGTTTCCACACTTGTAAGTTGATCAAGGCCCTCTTTGCAGATAACCAATCCCAACAGACTGTGAACAGACCCTCTGTTAGCCCCTTGTACCAAACGAGCACCGCCAACTAGAAGCGCCCACCTTTGCAGCGCGGCCGTCAGGTCCGTCTCCCACTTCCCTTGCACCTGCGGCCGAATCGCCCCGACTTGCCAACTTTTACAGGCCCAACAGACTGTAAACAAACCAGCTGGCCAGAATGTTAATAGCCTCCTTCTTCGTGAAAATGCACAAGCGGCGCCAATGCGTGCCCACCTTTGCAGCGCGGCCATCAGTTCCGTGACCCACTTCTCCTGCACCTGCAGCCGCACCGCGCCCCGCAGCCGCTCCTTGTCCGCCTCGCTCCACCGCTGCTCCCGCGCGCATGCCGCCAAAACCGCCCGCACCGGCTGCGTGCGCGCGATGTCGGGGTTTTCCTCGGGGCCCGTACCATCCAGTGCGACGAAGATCTGGGAGTCGGGGAATGAGTGAGCTTGAAGAAGATCGTTCAGAGAAGGAATGTTAGTTGAGCGTCTGAGAGAGGGCATTCCGACAGAGATGCCAGTGAGTGACGCCCTGACTAAGTGGCAGAATCTTGTGCACGGTTGAGTCCGGGCGCCGTCCAGCTTTTCTTCGATAATGTGCGGTCTAATGCAACAAAGACCTAGGCGCGGGGGAGAGGAGTGAAAGTGAGCGGAATATGCGGAGGGAGGGATGCGGATTGAGCAAGTGAGAGAGGCTACTCTGACGAAAATGAGGGACGTTGAAAAGCTGGCTGAATGCGTAAACATAGGCCGCAATTGGTTCAAAGAGTCTGGAAAGGCCAGGAAGTGGGCTGTGAAGAGAAGGTTCTGAGATCGAATGGCGGTAGAACACACCGATTCCTCCGTCATTCATCTATACAAAGAAGTTACAACCGAATGAGTGACAAGCACACAAAGGGCGCCATGGATACTGTCTGTCCCATATGCCGCAATGAATAAGTGATACGAAGGAGAAGCAACCAACTCAGAAACATCCACAAAAGGCCCCCGACCGCAACGTCGAACCCACCACCCAGCATCGCCAACATTCACATGTCACAAATGCGCCCCTCACTCTGCTGCAGCCGGTGCGCCTCGACTTGGGTTTCTTCCGCCCGGGCCAATCCAGCCCCGCCGTGCGCACCCCCATGTCCGCCTCCTTCGGTTTCGCCCCCACCTCCTTGCTCGCCTTGACCACCGCCCGTACCTTCTTTTGGAGCATCGCGTTCGCGCGGATCCGTTCCTGGATCGCCTCGAGGACTGCCGTCATTGACTTCTGACACGCGCGGTTCCTCTGCAGAGCCTCCATTATGAGCTCGGGATTGTCTGCTGAAGCAAAGGGCAGGATTCCAGGGGCCTCGGTATGAGAGGCCCCCCCTTCCGGAGGGGGGTCTGCGGTGGTTTGTTCCATGGGGGGCGGTCAGATGCAGCGGTCTTGGAGCTGCACTTGCGGATCACCTGCACACACCAGAGCTCATCCTAAGAATCGCATGAGGCGGTTAAGTGGCCATATGCACATGAAACGACCTGTCTGAGTGGTGGCACTTTACAACAAGGTTCTTCCTGTCCATAATCCAAGATCCGGAAGCAAACCACATAGGTGCAACATCTAAGGCTCCTGTGTTGGCACTTGGCGAGCCTCACCAAAGGGTATGCAACAACATCAGCAATTGAACAAGCAAAATTGAAGAATGGCACCGGAAGAATGTGAATCTGACTGGAGCTTCTCCTGTTGAAAAAGTTCTGCTCGTTTCAACACGGACGCTGCAATCACCATAGATATTGCCCAGATCCCATGCAGATTACTTGAGAGAGAGTTGAACGCACCTATCTCTGACATTGTCGGCCTCAGCACCTGGTCGACGCGATGCCTGATCAGGCCCAACTTATTGGCCCCGTGGACGCATACTCTGGCATGGGTTAAAACAAATTCTCACTGCGAGCGCCCCACAAGAATTGGATCAGAAAGCTTGGCTGCAACTCTTGGGGCTGAAGCTCTCAGAGCGGGCCTCCAATCCTCAAGAAGCTACATGACGAGCTCAAACGCTAACGCACGGCCCTATCAATGGTAGACTAGCCACCCCAACTTCAAGCTTTCAATACCTAGGCCGGAAACATCCTTTACTTTTACAAAAGGCGAAACCCAGTGCATGGCGCCTGGGTTGTGCCGCACCATGTTGCAGAACAGCAGAGGAAAAGGTCGGAACGAGATGCAGAGAGTTTGGCAGTGCAGACTCGTGAGAAGGGAAGCTTCATGCGCAGTCTCCACGCTCTAGTTTGCGCCAGAGCGTGATAACGGCAGAAACCGGTTGGATTCTCGGCTGCTCGATCTTCGACGTTGTACGTCTGCGAAACATCTGAGAGGTGTGTCTTCCAATCTGGCTCAAGCTGTGCTTGACTTTCGTTGTCGAAACGGTATCAAATGGGGTAACGATAACGGCGTGCAAGGGAGCCCTCAGCTCTTGCCATATTGGGTGCGTGCCATTCACTGGTCGCGCAACCTTCTCAATCTTCTCCGATGTTTGCAAGCAGCAAGGGGGCCGGTGTGCTAAAGGCTAAAGCGTAACGCTCTTAAGCTATCTTTGAAAATTTCTAAAGGGAAAAAAGGAGCAGTGCCCTCTTCAACACGGAGGATTGTGGCCAGGTTTAGAGTTCTTGGTGCCAGTACGCCGCCGTCTATGATCAAAGAGCTACTCATTTTCTTTAAAAGTATAGTTTTGATCGAGCATCGAGAGGTGCAATAAAAGCCTTTGAAGAGTGTTTGGTGCAAGCACCGTCCTCTACGAAAAGATGGCGTCAGGAAAGCCCGAACAATTTGAGTGTCGGCGGCCAGCCAATCCAGAGAACACGAAGTTCCAGAATATCAAAGAGCACTTTGAGGACTTCAAGAACGCCTCCATGGAGGAGCACAAGAAGTGCCTCATGAACACTTTCAACAAAGTGAGTGCCACTGGTTTTGCTATGGTTCAGGTCTGGATGAGTCAGATAGACGACAGATTGTGCTCCGCGAATTGCATCGACTTTGTGTGGTGGGTTTTGCTTTATCCAACTTGAGACCTCTGATACATCTTGCCAAGGCAGGTGTTGACATTGTGTAGGTATCAGGATTTTCTTGATTTCACAGATCTTTCATATTGCCACTTTGTGGTGCACTCTATCCTGGGTCAACTTTCAAACATGTGATTTCTTAGTTTTCAACACAATGACGCCTTAGCGTCTCGATCTAGAGCCTGTGACCTCAAGGTTGCGCCACAGCCGGCACCACTTCATGGATTGCAAAACATTGATATCGCTATTCGTCGATCTTCTGAGAGCACCGTAGAAGAGGGCGGTTTGTGGCACAGACTTGCTGTGTGCCAGCCTGCATCATTGTTTCCCCTGGTCATCAGCCACTATGGACTAGAAAACGGACCGTAGTGTGCTGCTTATATAATGAGTCACCGCGGGCTATGCGATACATGTTGCTCGTGACAGCCCAAACAACAAATGGTCAGACCGTATGGAAAGACAAAGTAGACCATTGGTTAGGTATTCTGGTCAGGAAGGTATTCTACTTGATATCTGTATTGTCCGCAAGTATGTATGATCAGATTCTGTAGAGAACAGAGTCTGCGCAAAAAAGGAGACTTCCCTGACCTTTGTCTCTTGGTTGCTGACTTTATTACAACCGGGAGCCACTTCACGCTGCCTGCAGGTGTTTTCCATAGGCAGCAGCAAGCCGGCTGCGGAGCCTGCCCCAAAGCAGGTGCTAGCGGGCGCCTCACAACAAAGTGCACCACAGGAGGTCGAAAGTGTCTTGAAAGTACGGGCTACTAGCTTATAACCATACCCTTCAGAGTGCAGAAAGGCAAGCAGGTAAGCTATATGCTGGGTTTCTTCTTTGTTGCGTGCCGATCTGCTTAGCATGCACCATTTTCTTTCGGCACTTTCCACGGTGCTTGGTTTTCAATCCAAGCTGGCTCAAGCGCCACCTCTGCACCACTATCGACTGATCACAGCAGCCATCAATGGATTAGCGTCAGCGCACCTAGAGACTCCTAGCCGCGCCCTGATTGCTGATGTATGTGGATTGAGCTTGGCCATGTTTGATATGTTGGTACGAGTTATAGTTGAAGGATGATAGTCCTTTGTCTTATATTCATGATAGTCGCCTTGTCTGATAGAACATTGTCCAGGTGATGCAGGAAAGGTCAGCTGTTGTAAATATCAGGTGGCTCTCCATGCTATAAATTTGCAGCCGAGAGCAACCAGATGTTAGACCGGGAGCCGTCAAAAAGGCCTGGATAAGCTGCGCATGGACGAGCTCGAATCGGAAATTCGTGACGACGGTACCCATTCCTTTGCACAGGCTGAGGCCATTTAGATTTAGCGCCCCTGGTTCCTCGATCTAGTGCCTGCAATGATCGGTGCAAAGTCTTGTGTTCAATTGGTTTCTTGGCTGCGGACTTCTGCAAAGATTTTGATTTGGCCGCCAGCTCTACTAAGAGGGCTTGCAGCTAGCCATGCAGCCGCCAATGATTGCAGCCACGCCAGCCAGCCAGGCTGGCAGATGCAGAAGATATTACTAGCTTTCGTTATCGCCGACAAGTTGGTCATTCGCAGATGTGCACTTAAGCGTCGGACAGTTTGATGAAATGTTTGAGGGCCGCCATTGTGGAATTCATGCAAATGATACCGCACGGTTCGCATATACGCACTTGAAATCAAACGTTGCATGCAGAATTCCGGGCTCTCAGTCATCATTCTTGTACAATTCAATATGCTGCATCTTGGCGTATATGTTTCGTAATCATTGATGTGGCCAGTACATGGCGCTGCGCACGTCGGACGGTATGTACATGTGTGACCATCATGCCATGAGACGGAAGTTCAACAATGCTGAATAACACTTTGACGGTTGCCTAGCACGGTGGCCAGCTAGCGGGCAAGCAACCGAACTATGCACCATGGCTCAATGCATGATGTGGACTAGGGCAAGATTCATACGAGGACACCGTTGACAACGCACGCAATGATTGTCGAAACAAACTACCCAAGCGCTGGCACCGTGGATACTGTACGGTCTGCAATAAGCGACTAGCAAGGGAGGCAGCTCACTCCAACTTGCTCCTGGAAGAAACATCATTTATCAACGAGATCCTTTCTAACTCCATTAATCCCCACACTCCTAGGTAACGGACCGTATAGGAACTTATCCACTGTAGGACTGTACAATGAACAACGAGCAATCACAACACGCCAACTCCGCGACTGGATCAATAGTAATTCCCAATCTTGCGATGGTGCGCGGCGGTTCTGCCGTCCGGCTTGGCGACATTCCCGTCCGTCACCTCGCTGTACACGATCCAATGGTCCGCCGTCTCCATGCGGCTCTTTACCGTGCACTCCAAGTACGCAATCGCTTCTTGCAGCAGCGGGGATCCGTTCTTGGCATCGCTCGTGTCAACGCCCTCGAAACGGTCGGCTGCACGGAACAAGGAAAGGTTGAATCAGAACTGAACTCTGGACTTTCAACAACGTACTTCGAGTCTTCAGCCGATTCGTGCCTGTGTCGTTAAGTAACATCGATGCCGCTTTGTCAACAGAATACTGCAGTCAACTGGGCTGCAGAAACAATGCTGCGGTTCCAGTCAGCCTGACTGCGAATGATTTGAAAAGAACGGGCCCCCAAACCGACACGAATCATCCGTACAAATTGGCCTGGTCAAGCAATCCATGACGGAATGTCCAGGAACAATATGTCCGAGGATAGATGTAACTCTGCACCGTAACTTAGAAAACGCGGGTTCGCTACGCCCCATTATGTCTATCTATTGAGAATGAACTGTTCACCGCATATACTGGACGTCTTTCTCGAGTCAAATTCAGTTTTGAAAACGGAGTTAGAGCGGGTTGTTGGCTGACCTCCTGGCGGGAAGCGCTTGAGGAAGTGCTTCATGAGCTTGCTGTAGTTGTTCTCCTCCAGGCAGTTGAGCACGAACGTGTCGCCCACTTGCATCAGCGACTCGATGGCACGGTCCTTGGCCACCGCGATCGTGATGCCGTACGGCTTGAAGCTCGCCTGGACACGTGGCAGGGGCATCAGATTCAGTCGCAAAGCGGAAGAGAAGACTTCAACACCACAGGGAATAAGTGATGCGCCCGGTAGACGATCTTGCCTTATCTATCGCAGACAATACTGCTGCAAACATCAAGCTTCAACGCATTGCCTGACAGTCACACTTCCTCCCTGGAAAAAACGTGGTAATCACGATCGGTCCTCAACCAGACCCCACTTTCTTACGCCAGGCTGATTCAACTTTTACACGCCAGGCTACTTCCACTTGAAGAAGCACAGCCCGGATCACGCAGCTCTCCCAAAACATCCCGTCAATGACCCTCAGAACATCGAACCATCGGCACTGAATCCAGGCCGTCCGCACTGATAGCCACATCTGGCCTCCCTTTCCTGCTCACCTGCGAGACCCAGCTGGCAATCATGGCTCCCTTGGAGCTGCCCTTTTTGGCGGTCACCACGTAGAGCCCGCCCGAGATGCGGCCAAGCGCCTTGGCAATGTCGACTGACATGCTCGCTTTGGTGTCGCTAATCTTCTTCTTCTGGCTCAGCGATTGGCCCAAATCCGTGCCCGTCTCCTCGTAAGCCTGGTACCTGTGCGTGGCAGGCGAAGCCATTTCGGACCAAACCCTCACTCTTTACAAGGGCCCACCCCAAAATGTCACCATATCTTTCAATAGTTACAAGGGATAGTTGCAAGGTTCTCCCTTTTGGTACTTCTAAGCACTAAATGTTTTGTCTCAGTCATCGATACCAGAAAAGAAGAATGTGAAAAACGTCTGTGACGACGACGCCAAGTTAAATGGCCTTCCGGAGATACCTTCATAACTGAGGACGTGTGCCGAAAGCAAGCCAGGTCGTTGAGTACCGCCGTGTTGGCAGCACGAAAAAGCCGGTTCAGGATCTCGCACAATACAAGTGCTTATTTCACTTGCTTTCATTGCCTCCGTGGACAAATCCTTCAAGTGCCTCCAGACTTGGATGCACTCAAAACTCAAGTAAACAAAAAGTCATTCCACCCTACTCACGTGGCCTCGGTCGGCGTCTCCTTAACGCGCATGGGCTCAAACACGGGCGCCAATCCCTGCTCCACAAAACGCTGCGTGATAGTATCCACCGGTTCGTCGTCCCCTCCGTAGCTCTCCGCTACCACCACCTTCTGCTTCGCTTTTACGGAAGCGAGCAGAGTGCCAAGGGCAGTGTTGGCGGGGCCGCTTGAGGGGGGGGTCAGGACCACCACGGCTGCGCTGCGACCAACGACCTCGACGAGCTCCTGCGAGGCGGCAGCGAGAGCAAAGCTTGGTAATGCTCGGAATGATGTTAACACTTCCAATCGTACTTCAGAAGTGGAGGTGTTTCAAAAAAACCACCGCGGCGCTGCGACCAACAACCTCGACGAGCTTCTACGAAGCAGAGGCGGGAGCACAAGGTTGGTGAGCGCTCAGCGTTGACTTCAAGCGACTCTGAGATTGAAACGTATTGACGACCACCACAGCGACGCTGCGGCCGATGACATCGACGAACTCCTGCAGAAGCATAGCTTTGTAGATGGTAGTAGAGCAGAATCTACTGCAATCTCCATGTACATTGCGGGCAGGGGAAAATCCCGCTTCTTGGACAGTCGCTTGCAGGTGCCCGACAAGCTGTAATCAAAATAGAGAACACTGCCTTCTTTCTGCTGTTTTCTGTAGCTAAGGCCTTGTGAAAATTACAAGATCGCATGCGATCGATTCTGATGAAATCCTTCATCAGATGGCACCTATTTCTGCAGACCAGACGACGTTCTGAACATGACCACCGAGTGTGAACAAGCAAGAACAGTAGCCCACACTTTCACGATCTTGAAAAACCAATAACGGACCGGCAACGACCCACAAATGCAACCTTACCTGCACGTCGACGCTCCCCAGGTCCAGCATCTCCACGCCCACGTCCGTCTTGGTGATTCCCCTGGCCAGCGCCTGGCTCAAGCGGTCACTGAACCCGTAATCCGCCGTGTACAGCACAGCAACCGTGGCGCTCTGCTTCTCGACCGCCTGCTTGCTCCACTGCAAACAGGCAGACCACAGACTGGATTGAGGGCAGAGCTCGTGAACGAAGACGACCCATAGGCTGATTATTTGATGCATGCGGCAGTCCGCATACCTTATCCTAGCAGTCCTCGTAGCCTATCTGTCAAGAAACTCTGAGACAGCCGTCACTAGAAGGAAACCTCAAAGCGAGACGAGTAGACGACCAAACGACTTGCGCCACCAGCCCTTATACCAACGCGATGGAAGGGTCACCAAAGCGGCCTACTTTGCAAGCCACTGCATCGTTTGCAGGCTTCTGACGTTCAGAAGGCCTTGACTTTCATGAGCTTAACCTATGAACCCAAAGAATCGTAAATCATGAGAACCCTAGCATCGCTACAAAAAACTCTAATCTCAGATCATAAGAGACTGATACCCTGGGTAACCCACCTGCGCATAGTGGTCGGTGAACTCGGGAAGGTTGTAGCGCAGCAGGGGGCCGTGCCCGGTGGCGATGGTACCGTACTCGAGCTCGCCCAGCTTGCGCTGCGCGGTCAGGACGCTGCGCGCGTTGGGGCGCATCAGGCAGTCGTAGTAGAACCGGAAGTGGGGCTCCAGCTTTGAAAGCTCCTCGTCAAAGATCTGCGCGGGAGCCAGGCTCCGGTTCAGTTCCATTGTGCAGAAAGAAGGATTTGTTTTAATTTCGACAGCAGAGAGGAGAACAACGATGGCGCTCCAGGCTTTTCAAGTTGATGCAGGTGTGCATGTCATAAGCAAGCACTCAGATTAGGAACCCGAGTGCCACTACAGCACAAAGCAACAAAGGCAGAGAGAACGACTGCCCTTAACCCCTACAGTTCATGGTCAATTGCGCTTACTATTGAGAGAAGATTACCTGATATCCCCAAACGCAAAGCCCAGCCTTCGTGAACACACCTTAGTGGCGTTCATGCAAACCATGAGCAACAGGTCGGAGAAAGCCAACTGTCGCCAGTGCTTAGCTCACAGCAAAAGGACAAAGGAAGAAAGCTCACCTCTTCAGAGCAGTAGTGCATGCCAAACGCGTCGCAGGTGAACAGGATGCTGGTGGCCTTGTCGTATGTGAACATGGTGTCCGGCCAGTGCAGGTTGGGAGCCATGAAGAAGTCCAGCACGTGGCCGCCGCCCAGGTCAATTGAGTCCCCGTTCTGCAAGCAAATACCAAAAGTTCAGCGTGTGATTTACTCATTGGAATGCGGAAATGCATGCAAACTATATGGCAGGTTTCACATTGTGAAAGGGTGATGGAACCCGCAAGTGGCATAGACAATTGACATTCGCAGGAACACGGCTCCCGTTAAGAGGTAACTCAAGGAGGAAGGACAAAAAAAAAGGGCAGAGACACATTTTAAACATGACGAGGTTGCTCAACGGGGTTCAACAAGACCTCAGATTGTTTGGGAGACACCAACCACACATCCTCAAAGTGGCAATCAAGTGTAACACACAGCAAGCCAAGGAATGTGATTTTCACATGAAAATCATCACTAAATCATCGTTAACATCGAGCAGCCCCTGGAAACAAAAGCGTTCTTCAAACACCAACAGATGACAACAGGGTTCTTCAAACCCCAACAAGTAACGACCCCTCAGTCTTGCATAAGCCGCTTTGCTGCCAGCCTGCTAACAGCAAACGAGATTACGTTATTACCGAGTAAACTTGCCACAAAACTCTCAATTGCCAGCAGTACCCACCTGAAGTACCCAATTTTTGCCCCCCCTCTCCCCCCACAAGGAAGACTTAACAATCCAGGCCCCCCCTCACCTTGACAGCCTGCGACTTGAACGGCTTGAGCACCAGGTTCTGCAAGAACTGCAGGCAGACCTTGCTCCCCACCACTGTCGCGTCCGGATGCAACTCCAACAGATCTGGGATCAGGCCGCTGTGATCTGGCTCCGTGTGGTTCGCAATAATGTAATCCACGCTCCCCGGCTCCACCTCTTCTTTCAAGGCAGAGAGGTACAGCTTGCGGAACTTCTCGTGGCTCGCGTCGAGGATGGCGGTCTTGGATGCGCCCTTGATGATGAAGCTGTTGTAGGTCGTGCCGTTCTGGAGGCCAAACTCGCTGCACACAGGGGGGGTGAGCGGTAAGCTTGTGTCAAGCTTTTCAAAATCTCGACCTCCAGGCATCCTCGCACTACAACATGATGGGAGGCTACTCTTACAAATGCTCGGAATATTGTAGGAAAGAGTTTGAGCTAAAAAGCATATGGGGGCCAAGACTAAGGGCGACAGCAACAAAAGCTATCCAAGTGGTTCCATCCTGCAGACCAAACCTTACTGCACCATGTAGAGAAGAAGGGGGGAGGGGGGGTGTGGCACTTTGTCAATGTGGATTGGCTGAGCGATGTGTTCATATTCAACTTCTGGGGGCCATCTGCCTTATGCAGAATGAAGGTCCCAAGACTAGGGCAGAAAGATAAGGGACACCTAGTCAAGAGCAAAAGAAGCAGGAAACAGACGATGTAAGTGAGTCAACCCGTTTTACACCCCGGATTTGCTGGCGCGAAAAGGAGTGGGCATTAGAGACTTGGCAACCAGCAGCTCTTATACAGGGGGTGCTAAAAGAGATTGGGGGTGCTAAAAGTGTTTATACTTTGGGGGTTCTTGAACAACTCCTTGCCTCAAGTTCCTGCTTGCTCAAAATAAGCAGAACACAAAATGTCTTTTACCTTCTCTAATACTTGCTTTGTTGCAGTGTGGATACAAACAGTGTGGATACAAAGAGCACCATTGGGAGAACGTTGTTGGCTCACGCAAGAGCAGAGAACGGAACTATGGCTGGTAGAGACGCCCTCACTTCATACGCAGACCCCATCAGGCATATCATTTGACAACTATATGGGCACGGGTTTCTGAGATGCTAACCGAGTAGAACTCTAAGCTCGTCCCTCTTGGAAGGTCTTCTGTGACATTCCTATGTACTCCTCTGTCCAAGTGTTTGTGATGTTTGAACCAAAAAATCTTTCTGAAAGATTCAAGGGCCCCATCGATATGATGGAAAACAGATGCCTCAAGCATTAGAAACGCACAATGCTGTCACTCATATACGAAGGGGCCAGCCAGCTCTGATTAATGCTGCTTGTGTCTCTCTACTTATCGAGTGACAGAAACGAGAAGGTATCATCGACAAGAACCACCAGTTTGCAAACCAGATCTAACTGTACTACCTCGCAGAACATGCTTGAAAAGGAGACCACGACTTACAGCGTCACCAACACATGCTTTTGCAGGAGCGCGGGAAATTTATTGCAATCTTGCCTATGCACGCATGCAACTTGACTTTTGACTGCCTGCAACAACAACATGACCGCCTGCAACCAGTACTCAATCTTAAAGCAGACGAAGAGACGGAGGGTTTTGTTAATTGCAGTAGCAGCTGACAATGAAAGAGAAGAAGGGAGCGAAGCCCAACCTGGCTCTTGTTTTCAAAATTAAAGTGAGCTTTCGAGCAATCCCCTTCAGGTACTCACATGTCAAACCTGTCGCGGTCCCAATCCAGCGACCGGATTGTCGTCGTGTCTTGTGCAATTTGTGCCGTCTGTGTCTGGAGCCTCTTCTCCCCCCCCCATTTCTCCACCTTTGACATTGCCCCCCTCTCCGGAGCAACCGCCACGGCCGCCCTCGCTGCCCCCTTGGTCCTCTCAACCCGTTGCCTAACCGCGAACCCAGCCTGCAGCAACTCCCTCCCCCCCGACAAGTACTCCTTTTTTCTTAATCCCCCCTGCTTCTGCAAAACTGGAAAGACAGCAATACGCTCTGCAGTGCTGGACCGACACATTTGGCACATGCTCTGGGGGGCAGCCCGGAGGCCCCCCACGACGGCGCCGGCTGCAGCCATCGCAGTGCAAAAGTGTTGTGTGCGTGCAGCGCTGTTTCAGTACAGGAAAACGCCAGAGGTGTTCCCTTTCAGATGTTGAAATGATCCTCAAATTACCGACTGAGTCTGTAGTCCCAGCTTCTTCAGCAGAGCTTTGGAAAGTGCTTGCGTCCACCTGACACAAGCCTGGAAAGGGGAGCAAGCTGCTGCGTGGCTTCTTCTCGAAGAGGACCTTTTAACCTACGTTAAACCCCTCGGGTCGCGTGCACTTTTAGGTGTTCGGTGTTGCGACGACGACACAATCTGAATTGAGGTGTCGAACATTCTAGAAGGCCAGTTTTAACCGAGCCTTAACCCCATGTGGTTCAGGTTACGTACGTAGGGCCTGGTAGGGGGCGTTAACCCCATCATCGGTTCGCGGCGACATCCTAATAACGCGTGTTGACTGCCCGTCGCTGCGAGTTTTAATATGAACTGGCCAAATAGCTCTTGCGAGCGACTGCGGAACTGGATTTACACGTATCTGGTCGCCGCGTGGGACGTCCCACAACATGGAACTTGATTCATTATCTTGGTTCCTAGCTCCGACTTCTGAAGTTCTGCCGGAATCAAAGCTGACCAACCAACTTGCAAGTACCGTAGGTACTCGATAAGAAGCTCATCTCTTCTGATTGTCTGATGACGGCTCCTCAAGGGCTGATGCTTCGGGCATTTCCCCTGCTAGCTGGCAAGGGAGATATTGCTAGGAAAAGGCTGCAATACTTTGGAAATTGGTGATTATCCCAAAGAACTTTCAGCTAAGGGTTTTTCCGACATCAGGCAGCAATGGCTCACATTCAGGCGCAAATCCGAGAGAATAGCATGGTAAGAACTGTCCTGGCAATGTGCCTGCTTCCTTAGCTTGTCACTTACTGACAGGGTCTTCTTTCTGTCATGATTTCAAATTAGGGTTTGATATTCTCTTGAGCATACTCCCCAGAGCTGAATCTTACTACCTCTCTATGAAGGAGAAACCGTTGCACCCGGTAAGCCTGATTAAACACAATCTAAAATAGATCTGAGCTGGTTAAGATTTGGGCTCAACAGCTGGTGGTATGGAAATATCAGGAGGCTAGTGGTGTACCTGAGCTTGCTTGCACTTTTTTATCCTGGTCTGCTTAATCTTTGCTCTCTCTGGTTTGGAGGTTGTGGAGCCATTTTGGACTCGTGACCAGCTAAGTCAGCTCACCACTGGTTTAATTTAAACCTAACCACATCTTTTGACTTCTCCAGGAGCTGCAAGACTATCTAAGGGAGCTCCGAGACTGGGAGGTCAAAGCGAAGGCTAAGGATCAGATGCTACGGGACGGAGGCGCTGCAGCGCCCCCGTCAGAAGTTCCACCCATCAGGGGGCAGCCAGTGAAGAGGCCAGAATCAGGGCAACAGAAAGCCATGTCTGAGGCCACTGATTCGAGGAAGCATGACGAGAACCCAAAGAAGGGGAAGAATGCAGCCAGCCACACATATGACTACTTCCGAGACAAGTGGGACAAGTTCGACGTGGTAAGAAGTGCCACTTCGGCTTTCCTACTCCAGCTCTGCTTCAATCCGTATACTTAGTTCGCGGAACTAAGTAGTCTATGTGTCTCGAAGGTACTGGACTACGAACAAGTATCGTGGCGGTGTGTAAAAAGCGTCGGGATTGGCAAGTACGGCGCTATTCTAGAAGGCCTGAAGTGTGAGGGCTTGTAGGCATGTGAGACAAGTTTATGTGAATTTTAGGTAGGCTATACTTGAACAGCCTGGGTAAGAACATCTCTACGAGTACCAATTGCTGACCTGCATTCTCAGAGATCTTCATACCTGTCAAAACTTCGATAACAAAATAGGTGACAAATCCTGAGAACATTACCGGACGGTTATGCAGGACAAGGCCCTTGCTGAGGCAGAAGACGAGTCACCTCGTGCAATAAAGCCTGCGGAAGCCCCTCCTGCCAAACCCCCATCAAATACACCCTCCGTCCAAAGCCCCGCGGCCATCCCAGCACCCAAAACGGCCAAGCCTACAAGCTCTTCCAAGTTTGCGTTTCCTAACGGCGACGGAAGTAGTCGCCCTGCTCCGCAAAAAGCATCGGCGGACGAATGGACGCCCAACAAGGCGCCTGATGCGACATCCGAGAAAGAAGAGGTGCGCGACAGTAGTTTCAACCTTTTAGGCCCCGATGTTTGCTGATTCTTTTTCTTGTTCACAGCAAGGTTGAAGTACTTCCTATATAATCCCGAGTTCTGTCTGGTCCCCTGTGATCCTCACTCTCCAGGCGCTTGCTGAAATTGCAGCTCTGTAACTCTTCAAGAAGCTAACTTCAGCAATTGCTTAAAAAAGTGTCTTGAATGCCTTTCTTTCGACCTTTTTCCTCTAGCTGTGACCACATTTGTTAGAGCCTCTTATTATTGGCACTGAAAGATGAGCTCCACTTTCCTTGGCTCATCTATTCTCTCGGCATTCCCACTGCAGGGTAACCGTCTGTTCAAAGCGGGCCGTTTTTGGGAAGCCTTTGAGTGCTATAGCCGCAGCCTCGCTCTCAGCCCCACTTCCGTCGCTCATGCCAATCGCGCGATGGCCGCACTTAAACTTGAGATGTTTCGAGAGGCTGAGACGGACTGCACGGCAGCGATCGATCTGGACGATCACTATGTGAAGGCGTACTCACGGCGGGGGCGGGCGCGTTCGCACCTTGAGAAGTGGCTAGAGGCGGCAGACGGTGAGAAAAGGCCCTGGAGGAACGGAAAATGATGCATTTCTGTATCTCGTCACCGGGTTGGATGTAGAAGCGATTGAGTATGATAGATTGAGATTGCGTGGTTTCTTGGATGACTCTCTTTCACCGGCATGAGCTGAAGGTGACCGAGCGGTTTCTCGTAGCGTACGAGGTGGGCTTCCTGCCTTACTCTCTTAGAGTTCTCCTTGTATTCCTTGTTCCTTTGAGCAGTCACTCCGTCACACTAACAATAGCAGAACCTTGATAGGCTGTGAGACCAACTTAGCAGATTTTCCACCTCAACTTTTGCTTTACCCTCCCTCTATACCCTCCCAGTATCACATACCCTTCCGATCGTTCTTGCAGATTTCGAGTTCGCCTTGCGTCTGGAGCCCCACAACAAGGAGCTCCTTCAAGAGTACTCCGCAGCCCGGATTGCCTGCCAGCGGGAGGCCAAGCTCCCTAACCCCTCCACCGCCGTTAATCTCCCAGTCAAACCCGCCCAGGAAGCTGCCTCAGTGCCCCTATCAAAGCCGTCTCTCGCTGACAGGATCCAGTCGAAAGAGTTCAATGGTAAATCGGACGGGTTGAGGATGGACTTCCTTAGAACAGTCAGCGACGAATCGAAGCTTGAAGTTGGTTCAAAGTCGGTAGTCGAAGAAGTTCCGTTAGCTTCGGAGGCGGCCGTAAAACGCGCTCAACAGGTGGAGAAGAACGAGGTTGACAGAGCGATCCAGGTGATTGAGCCATCTAGCAGCGAGAGGAAGACTCCGACCAGTTCTGGAGAGCGAAACGAACCGTCAGTAGGAAAAACCGCCGACTCTCGAGCAGAATCGGATGTCCATGCCAACGAAACCGGGAGGTCTGCTCAGACGGAAAGCAGCGCATCTTTGAACGATGCGTTAGCAACCAGGAAAGGGAGGCCGCTGGAGCTGCCAGGAGGACACGTGGCAGACGGGGAAGCAAACAGCCCTTTATCCTCCAGTCCTTATCCAAAATTAGAAGAGTCGAGAAAGAGCCCAAGACGGACTGTGCTGGCGAACGGTTCGCTTGCAGCGGCAAATGCGGCGGCAGAGCGGCTGCAGCGCACACTGGCGGAGAACGTGGCAACGCCACGGACGTCCTATGAGTTCGAGACGCAGTGGAAGGGGTTCAAGGACGACTCAGCGGCGAAAGCAAAGCTTCTCAAGGTGAGCCGTTTGGATAGAGATTTAAAGTCGGCCTGCTGCAGCTTGAAGTTCGGCTCTTGTGTTTAAAAGCTTCCTGCAATGGCCTCTGGAACATGGGTGCGTCTTTCGTCTCCTGGAGACTTGCAATCCAGTTTTCTCCAGCTCGCCTTTACATCCGTACTCTGCTGAGCTCCTTCTCTGCTTTAAGTCCGTTGTCGTAGACGAACTGCACGTAGAGCGCACGTGGCACTTCTCAATGGTGTGCCGGTCCTGTTTGATGATTTCGGACAGTGGCCACATGCTTCGCAAACATGCGCTTTCCTCGACGCTGATTGTATTTACATTGATGCAAATATATAAATATCTATCCTGCTCAATCTGCTCGAGAAGATACAGAGTAGCGGCTTGTTCTGTGGTGACCCAACCTTTTCTGCCGGACCGGCGTCGTTGGAAGGCGACTAGTTGCATATCTCACGCATTCGTCTCCGGCGAGAAACGCCTTTTTTTGAAAGAGCTTCGCTTTAGTTTTCTCATTATCGATCAGGATTCCTCCCTTCTAATTGCACGTATGTTCCTTGTCCTGCCAACTCTAACAAGTCGCTGGATAGCCAGCCGTTGCTTTCGAGAAGAATCACACCACCACTGAGTTCGTTTACAGACGGGCATCGGGGGACCCCTTCCTCCCCGCGAGCAAGTAGCCGGACGGCCTCTCAATAAGCTCCCCCAAAATTGCAGCTTGACACCAAGTACTCTGTGTCGCCGTGGAGGGAATCCCTTTCAAATTGAAAGCTGCGTTCCCCTCTGCAGACGCTGGTCCCCTTTCAGCTGGCGCCTTTCTTCAAGGAGTCCCTGCAGGCCCCCTTGCTTTGCGACATGCTCCGGGTTGTTGCCCGAGAGCTTCTACCGGGGGACGCCGCCTTTGCTGCAGACCTGCTGGAAGGACTCTCTACTGTGCCCCGGTTTGCGATGACGGTCATGCTCATCTCCGGAAAAGACAAGCAGAGTGAGTGCGCTCCTGACACTGGGTGTGCTCTTGCTTGTAGAGACTCGTAGGGCGTTTTGTTCGATTTGGTGTCGACCCTTGATTACGCGAGTTGCATCTTGATTGGGGTCACAGCATGCTTGTATGTGGTTAGTCAGCTGTAGAAAGTGTTCCAAAATGCAGACCGCAACCTGGACTAAATCAAATCACTTTTTCGAATGCGGACTCTGTTGGATGTATGCAGGTCTTCGCGAGCTGTGGGACTCAGCGGCCACAGATGCATCAATACCTGAGTCGATACGAACTCGCGTTGCGTCTTGTCGCACCAAGTATCGAATGTGATCGGAGCAAAGAGGACCACCATAAGCTTATTTAATCAGGGGCAGGGTCGAACTTCAGCCCGATGGTACTCTTGCACACACAGGCTCTCTTCTCCTGCGTCGCAATGACCCCCACGAAGTGGGCGGTTGACCCTGTTGTCGTCGTGAACTCGACTTGCACAATTCGCACTTCAAACCGCTAGCTAGTGCTTGGAAGGCATGATGCGGCTGCACTGGCTGCGAACCCTTCTGTCGTATACGTTCAACTTGCGGTATGCTCCGCTTGCGTGCCAGTGATCAGTAGCTGTACTAACCTAATTGCAGTTGTCTATGAGTCCCTGTGGCGGCTGAGCTGTATATGCTGGGCCAGAGACACTAACACTGCAACTGGCAAATGGCGACCAGCCTGCACGGAGCGGCTGGCGCATGCAGCTGAACCAATACAAATTTGAGCAGATCAACTGGCCAACCATGTGACAGCTAGCGGCGGAAACATTGCTCTACACGAGAGCAGTCACTCGTAAGCCTAGTTGATTGAAAGCGTGCATGTTCATGATCATGGCGCACATGGCATGCATATGCAGTATGCAGGCCGGCCTATACCCGTGCATTACATAAGTGCAACGGTATGCTTCCAGGATTGCGTAGGACCGGACCCACGTACGTCAGAGGAGTCATGAGACGGTCCTGTGTGAGTGTACGTATATGCATCCGACCGGGCACTGTGAGCTAGCTGGCAGGCTAGCGGCGCGGCTGTCGTGCCGTATGTAAATAACATGAGTCGAGGCCATGGACCGTGGCGGCCGGGTGCCATGCAGCGCTCAACATATGTGGTCGAAGCAATTGAGAAACTTGGAAGCATGATGTCTACAATGATGCTCCGACGCTCACGCGCCGGCTGGCCCACCGCCGTCGGACTGCTTTACATATACTATTAAACTAGTCGGGACCGCGACTAGTCATACTGAGAGTGGCAGGTATGACTACGCGAGCTGGCTCTCAGATGCTAGGCGCAGCATATGAGCTTCAATCTATAAACTGCACAAGCTGCATAGCTTAATACACAGGCCACTCAGTCAAACGAGGGTGAAATGGCAGCGTTTCGCCGGACATGGCAATCGTAACTCACACATCATTTAACAACTCCGAGGACGGTGCTAGTATTCGCGATTTCCGGAGGCTGGACCTCTGGAAACAAGCCTCGACCCAACTCGTTTATACTTCAATGCAGGACGGATCAGTCGAAGATCTGCTGTACCCAACTAATGCTCGACCTGCACACCGGACACGGCTGCCCTGCTTCAAACGTCTGCATTGCGCAAGGGTAACAAAACCGCGCGTGCCCACACGGCAGGTAGAGCGCATTGCGCGGCCCATCCCAGCAGATGACGCACTCCTCTTCGTCATCCCTGGGTATCCGCCCGCCACCACCGCCTCTACTTTCTGTCTTTCTAGAAGCGGTAGAGGCACTCATTGGCGCTTCTATGTACTGCCCATTTGCTGGCCTGTGGGGGCCCGCAGGCTCGCCCCACGACCCTTTACTTTTGAGTTGCAAATCAGCAACGCTTTGAGAAAAAGAAGGGGGGAAAGAGCTAACGCCCGCACTTGGAGAAATAACCGGCTTCCAGAAATCTTGCTCCGCCTCAGTCAAAAACTCCTTGTAAACGCCATTTCCGACCGGCGCTGCCTGGGTATGCGGCAACCCACCATTCGCTGGTGCTACTCCGCCCGTTTGCGAGCTGTCCGTCCTTTTCATAGGCTCAGAAACGGGCTCGGTCCCCCAAAACGACTCCCCAGCCCCCCGACCCGAGCTTAAACTCGTGGCTGATTGAGCCTCTGAAAGAGGGGGGACATTCGTCTGCCAACTCTGCCCCCACTCCCCCGAACTGCTCTGCAAAGCGGCCCCCTGCGACTCACTTTCTTGCAACCGTTTCAACAGCTCCTCAGTAGAAGGGGCTGCGTGATGGCTGTTGAACCCGTTGTATTTCAAAGCCATGGCATCCCACGTCAGATCCTCGTTCCCGCTCCGTTCTCTTGTCCCTTCCGCAGCGGGTGTACTCCGTACGGACTCCAGCCCCGATCTCCGCGCCTCTTTCCACAACGCCCCTGCCCCCGTATCCGCTTTGCTATCGCTCGGTTTGCTCTTCGCCGCCTTTTTCTTCTTCAACCCTGCAGCATCATCCTTCTCCTCAAGCGCGGCATACTTGTTGCTGACCGGAGTGGGCGCCTTCTTCTTCGAAAGCTTCGTCAGCGCCAGCGCCCGCGCCGCCGCCTCCGCCCTCTCCGCTTCCTCGGCCTCTTTTTGCTTCCGCTCTAGTTCTTTTTGCCGGGCCGCCTCGGCTTGCTGCCTCTCGACGCGCGCTTTCCGCATCGCTTTGGTGGCAGCTTTCCGAACGCTTGGATCCGCCCGATCCCCACTAGTAACGGCGGCTTGCATCTGATCCGGATCACCTGCGGGCATGAAAGAGCATGGTCAACAATATAAACGAAAGCGGGGCACAAATTCATCTCTCTGTTGAAAAGACCCTGACTCAAACTCCCTCATGTACAACCATTTTGCTAAGGTGCCAATGTTGTCTGCTTCTGCTGGAGCCTGACCGGGGGCAGTGCAGATAGCGCCTCAGAAATAGGAAAATGATACCCAGATCTGCCCTAAAGCTTGCCGCTTGCTAGACACCCCAAAAGCTGAGACATTCTCTGAGGAGATTTTGTAGTGACTGTGCTCCTGCAGTCTATGTTCCCCCTCTGCGACTGCGCCAAGTGTCATATCCAAGGGTAGCTGCAAGCAAGATTGCTATACAACCATCTGCTACTCCCACGCGATCTCTGAAGAGCACTGGGCATTCTAGGCGGTGAATGGCCAGCTTCAGTAGCTTTAAAACAAAGCATTCCAAGAAGGAAGTGGGCAGGACCATTTGAAAGCGGCAGTTCACCACTCCACGTGAATTCTGCCACACCCTGCGAAGCCAGATTGCAACGTTTCATACTCATCCTGCCACACACCACTCTTTACTTGCAGTTGAAAGCAGACTTCCATGGCAAATTCAAACTAGAACCAATCACAGCGTCCTCTTAGATCTCTGCTTACCTGAAGCAATCGCATCCGTGAGCCTTTTGTTGGCCTCCTCAGTGGCCATGAGGGCGTCTGCAATCGCTTTCGAGGCCTGCTCAGCTTTCTCGTCAACAACGCTTTCCCGGTGCCCATTCACCCGCGCTTTGGGGGGAGACACCGACTCCCGCTCCGAAGGGTGCCCCATCCCTGACGCGTCTTCTAACAGGCGCGTCTGCTTCAATTCCGTCTGCAGTGACGTCATCCAGACATAGTTCAGCACGTTGAGCTGCACAACTCTCGTAAGCCTCTCTTTTGAGACAATATTGAAGGAGGTCATCAAGGCAACAGGTCAAAGGGCAAGCGCAAAATGTCTCAAACCAAGCGCCATTAGAAGGATGTTACTGATGTGTATGGGGGTCCGCCTCATTCAAAAAGTAAGGGGGCCCAAGCCAATCAAAGTGCAATCACCTGGCTTCCACATCGATGTGTTCCTTACAACTCCAGCAAGCTTCAACTCAAACTTTTATTAGCCACTTGCGCGTTGAATCTGATAGTATAAGCTGGAGAAAGTCGCCACGCCCTCTGTTCCTCAAACCCCATATTTGGTGGTCAATGGGACCCCCAGACTACATCTTGAGATGCTCCCAGCATTCCAAAGAGAGAGCAGCAATGTTGAGCTTTTCGCAGTAGCTGTCTCGACTTACTTCTGCCGGCATCTGGTCATCCTGCCAGCATTTGATTGGAAATCCTGAACCCTAAAAAGGATCTATACGAGCTGTGCTGAGTACCCAGGGAGAGTAAAACTGGTAATGGTGCAATCGGCTGAGGAATAGACTGACTGAATCAGGTGGAACCACCTACCATCGCGCTGGTCAGACGACCTCAGTTATGACAAACCAAGTGTCAGCAACACCATTGCAACTTGCCGTACTTTAACAGAGGAAGCAAAAGGGCCAACGACGAAAGCTAGTACGGATCTGCTCCCTCACCTTGATTTTGACCATCAATCGATCCACCTCGTCCATGTCAAAGTTGAGCACTTTTCTGCAGAGCGGCCCCACCGTCCCAATCAGCGTACCCCGGGACCCATCCCAAACAACGTTCTGGCAGTGCTTATGGACTGCTTGTGCAACGGCGACCCGCCGTTTGAGCAAGCTCAGCCCTTTCAGATTCAGCTTTTTCCGCCACAGCGACGGGAACAGCTCAGACAAGTAGTCTGAAACCACAGTCACCGCCGCCAGGTGTACTCGCGCCGCACGCTTTGCCGCCATTCTTGTGAAGTCGCTCACGTCCTTCCCAAAGACCTTCATAATCGCCTTGGACGAAAAGCGGTCCATCGTGCCGTCCTGAACCAGGTTTGCAATCCACTTGATCACTAAATCAGTCCCGAGCTCCGCCCAATCCGCACCGTCATCCCCCTCCTCCATCCACCCATCCTTCAACAGCTGCAGATACAAATCCGCGACCTCCATGTGGAACGCCCGCATCGGCGCCAGGTGGCGGATGCAGCTCAGGCTCGTTTCGATCGCCACTTCTTCCAGCGTCCCGCAGTGCCAGTGCACCTCCCCGCAGCGCGCGCACATCTCGCCATTGCTCAGGCGGTTCCCGTGCGGGGGGTGGTCCTTCATTCCGTGCCCCTTGTGCGCAACGTCCGACTCCTCCGAGTCGCTCATCATGTCAGTGGTGTCTGCTTACAGCGATTCCTCGCGCAGCTCTGAGAGCTGCCTTCTGCGGCAGAGCGCACGCATGACCAAGCCTGGCATGCAAGGAGGCTGGCTTTGGCACCTGAGGCGACGTACGTACAGCTGGCAACTTGATCCTCCTCTCTACCGCTCTCGAGTTTGAAATTTGAACCTACGCCGACGGTAGTTTTGAACAGACTTCGGACTTCTTCTTTCTCCTCCGCCTCGACAGCTTGGAATCTGCAGAATGTGTACATACATGTGTACATGTCCACCTAGCAAAATGTACCTACCGTACAAGTCTGTACCGTGGAACACGGTGGAAGGTGGAGTGCGTACCTATCAGCGCGGCCAGCTGGATCCAACGGCCCGTGAGCAGAATCCAGAATTCGTCTTCCACGCCGATAGCATGCAGCCTTCTAGTGCGGAATGGACCGAGCAACCGGCGTCGAAAGTTGCCGGAAACGGACATCTGACGGATTCAGATTAGGGTTTGGCACGTTCTCTGACGATCGGCGCAGCTGCGGCTCCAGCTGCGGCGCCTTTCTGGCAGTGGTAAAACGCTGCCGCAGGAAGAGCACAGGAAGCTGGCTTCAAAAGCCTGCGCGTCGCGCAATGGTCTTGCAAGAGCTTTCCAACATGGCCATGGCCTAACGAAAATTCAGAATTGTCTGCTCAAAGAAGGAGAGAACCCGAATTTGGTGGCATTGCAGTGAGAAACGCAAGTTGACCCAGCATTGCTACCACCATGGGAACAGCAACGGACGATTGGGGCTGAGCGCTTCGTGGTCTGCTTTCCTGAGCGCCACCGCAGAGGTTTGCTCTGCTTAGCAACTGCATTGGGCTGCTTCAAAAGGGTTCCGCTCTTCCTCTTAAGCTGATTACCCCCTTGAACAACTTCAAAAGGATTGGCTCACGATTAGACGCGGAAACGGAATCCTTTGAGCATTGAAAAATTGACAGGTGCAACATACTGAGTGATGCAACAGCATTGCGCGGCTAGCGAGTGAAGGGCAATGGCGTCGCAAAGGGCTAAGCGGGGCGGCGTGCACGGGAGCATTCTTTCGTTTCTTTTCAGCAGCCAGTGCATAGCGAGCGCGTCGTTTGTTTTCATGTACATAATCTTCATTCACCTCGCTCTTTTGTACACCGAGGAAGTGAAAGGGCTGAGCAACCGCCATGGGAGTCTGTCTGAGGTTAGCCTTGACCTGTCTGGGTTTCTGGGGAGTGGAACACTCAACCAAGGGCGGAGACTACATCAGGTTAAGTCGGAGGAGCTTAGAGCAGCGCTCGGAGACCTCCAAGGTCTGCACAGGAAAGTCAAGTTCAGCTTTCCCAACTGGGCAAACGCCCTCCGGTTCTCTTTTGATGGAACGGCGTCGACGAGCCCCCAGCATCACTTCAAAGAAGAATCAATGCTTGATCACGACGCGGTGGATCCGGAATGGGCGCTTTTTGACAAGGAGATTCTAGAGGAGAGTAGGTTTGATTGGGCGCATGCGAGCAGCAGTGCAGACGAGGAAAATAGCAGCCAGGGGGGGGACGCCGGTGGCTCACAAGAAGAGAACGACGGGCCCCTCATTGGGGAAGGTGCGCCTGGGGAGGTGCAAATTGAGGACATTGTGAATGCGGAGCACATAGTGGAGGACCTAGTGGAAGCACAGCGCACGCATGCAGAGGAAGAGATCAGAGATGCAGAAGAGAAGCAGGCAAGTCGTTTTGCATGTTACCCCCCCACTTTTAGAAGAACACATTGGACATAGAGTGGATAGCAAGCTCCGTTGATCAAGGTGGTTCAGCGGTTGAATTCCTCCAAGCTGATGCGGTTGTTCTGACATCTTGCGTTCAGGTGACTTTGTATTGACATAGTTCAATCACTGGGTGGATACACCCTTGACATCGTTTGTAGCAGTCGAATTGATTGGCAGCTGACGACCAGGATTTTTTAGACCTGAAAAACTCTCTTCGTATGGCTGTGTTTGCTTGATTGCCTTGACTCTTGAGGTGGTGCTCGATCGGCAGCTGGCGTTCAGCTTCTCTTATCAATCACCTCTGCTGTTACTGCACGAAAGGAGAATTGCCAATGTCAAGGCGGTCTACTGGAGGACCAATAAAGACAGGGAGGCTTTATGACCCTTTCACAGGCTTCGGCAAAAGAACTCAGTCTAGAAATTCAGAGTTTTCGGCTTTTGCGTGCAGGAGCGGCTGTACGTGGAGCCCCTTCCAGAGGACACAATGGAAGGGATTCTTCAGGAGACGACGCTGTACATAGAGGAGCGGGAAAAGTCTTTGGCGCGGCTGTCCTCGTTTGAGCCGATCGATGAAAACCCGCCAGAGCTGGAGTTGTTCGGGCTGGTGGATGAGGACTCCCGAGCTACGGGAGCCTGGATGATAGGGGAATCGTTGAGTGGTAAGTTTGTAGAGAAAGTCACAATATAGCTGGCAATCGGTGTGCCGTTTGGTAGCAGGAGATTCTGGAGCAGATTCCTTGGATTGTGATTCACAGGAGCTGTTTGACGGAAGCGACTCCTTCCACCAGTGAGCTGTTTGAAGGAAAAAGTGCGCTCATTGCTACGAATGTGCAAAATCAAGAGACACGGACAAAGCGTGCCAGTCGATGATGTATCTAAGGGACACCTGAACCGCTTGCCAGCACGTACCCCATTTGTCTGCGTTTCCTCACTCAAGATTGCCAGAGTGCTACTGAAAACCACTAATTGGCAGCCCCTGACTTTCATCACCTTGCTTGAGTCTGTGCAATTTCTGATCTGGGCAGCTTTTAAGATGCCTCTCGTTGAGCCCTTCCAATCGGATGCAAGTTTGAGTTTGAGGTCATGCTCCTCTTTACTCCGCAAGCAGGTTGACAGCTGGTTTCTTCAGACGACAGCTGGCTCGTTAGGATATGCAGCGAGTTTCTTCCCTATGACAGCTGGCACTTTGGATAGACAGCTGGGCCCGTAAAAGCGACAGCTGGCTTCCTTCTAAGCCTCCGGTTGTCAGCTTGAAACCACTTCAGTCCTGCTCTTGACCCCCGCAAAGCCACTGCCATCAGGATTCTGATAACGAAAATCCCAACCTGCCTTTACATCTTAGTAAAACTCAAAAAACTTCGCCCGTTGCTTCTTGCAGAGCCAGCTGTCGAGCCCGTCCAGCCTCGCGAGCCGCCCACTCGGCGGCGGCACCTTTTGGGCTTCCCCTCCGACGACTCGGCCCTGGGGGCCAGCCCGCCGTGCGCCCACGACTTGTCCGCGCTCGACCCTTTTGCGTATATGCATGCCAGCATCCAAAAGGCTTTCGACAGCGGGACCGGGCTCGTGCCGGGGCCGGCGACCACGTTCGAGTGCGAGATGACGTTTGACGGTCAAGGACAGCGGTGCGTTGATCGCGACATTGTAACATACGGGCAGGACGAGGAGCGCGGGGGCCGGGGGGATTGGTCCGTTGCATGAGCGCACGCGAGCCACGTGGCGAGGTGGGCCCTCGCGTTACTTCGTACGTTGTTCAGTTTGTTTGCGAATCGGTGGCTGGTGGAGGCATTGCGTGACATGACGGCCACAATCTGGTGACAGCTGTTGAGAGACATGCGCTTTACAAGGATCATTTCCAGAAGCTATCTTGTTCGAGCGTGTATGTTACAATCACCTTCTACCGTCAGGGGCGTCCTTTGCAACTCGTGTAGTGTCCTGCCAGCTTGCTACATCGCCTTCTTCAGAAGCCTCGATCGCCAAATAACGAATAGTCAGTATCTCGGAGAGCTCATGTGGCCAAGTCGTGCACACTATCAGTCACGATGTGACAGTTGATGTGGACGTTCGCTGTTAAAGTTGCCGTGCTTTTCGGAGTCTGCAATCTCGTCTCCCTATTGTGTTGGTTGTGTGTACGTCTGGCAAAGCTTGCGACTCTCTTTAACTTCTTACAAACAATTCTCCGTTTCCAGATACAAACGGGATCATCAGATGAGTGGGCACGAATTGTGCCCGGCCCCGAAAGAGGAGGTATGACTGCACGCGATGCACGAAGTGTCAGGTAGATCTGCCAGCGATAGCGGAGAATCCGATCGACTTCAGGATGAGCCCGTGGTGTTGAAAAAACCCAGTTCAACAACAAGCCAGTACAGTGCATCTACTACAGCATCTGCTGATGAATCAGAATTAGGAGAGGCTGAGCGGGCAAACTCGATTTGCGCCCAAACTTTTACAAAACATCGATCAGCTGTAGAATTGCGAAATATCAGACGCTGGCTAGATGCTAATGCCGAAGACCAAAAGGAACTTGGTCAATGTAAGTTAAGCTACGAATCAGAACCGTAAATTGTTGCCCGTTGTTGGAAACTTTACGGAACATGTGACTCCCGGAGCTTGAGTACGGCCTGCCGGCGCCGCGCCGCGCCGCGCCGCGGAGTGCATGACGAATTTCAATCAGCCTTCGCATCATGGGCCGCGCAAGCCCAGGTACTAATGCTGTGCAATGACGACACTTTTTGCTCCATGGTCTGGCGCACTTTGATGAGTGGGACTTTGCCCAGGCATGTGCCAATCCGACTATAGCTCCGCACTGATATCGATCGACCGAACGCTGAATGATTGCATCTATACATCGCATGCTAGCCACCTAGCCGCCTAGAGATCATGTACATGAATACGCAAATGTATAACAAGTCGATTAAATTGAGCATATATGATTCTAAGGCAACCGTCCCAATCACATGATCGAGGATCATCACATAAAACGCCTCGCGCGTGGCTTTTGCGGCTACTAGGGCAGACTGAGTCCCACCAGTTGTCCAGAGTTTGTGGTAAGATCTATCCTGGGCGGGCTAGGCGTCCCGGCAACGACGCCAGGCAAAGCGCGCGTAACTGGCAGCAAGCTCAGCTCTGGAATTCTTAACCACCTGGTTTTATTGAACTAGCTGCATGCAGCCTACAAGCTCCTACTCAAGCAATCGAATGACTAGCCGAGCGGGCTCTTACCAAACTTTACCGTATTTTGACTGGAAGTATTTAAGCGGGCAGCTAAGTGGCCCCAACATCGACTCGAGTCTTCTCATTTCCACCTACTACAAACGACTGCTTATAACGCAGCTGTCCAAAACTCCTACGACGCACCATTGGATCAATGTCCAACCCAAGCAACGGGTACGACTCCAAGAACCCACGTCGTCAAAAAGCATCCACCTGAGAAATAACTTACGACTGCACTAACCGCAATCGAAAGAAGCAAGTGAAGCGCTCGCATAAATATACTTTGCACGCCTGTCCTCTGCGGCCACACAACAACCTTAAAAAAGTGGACAACTACAACCAGGATTATCCGAGCTGAAGCTTACGCTCAACCTATTAACTACCGACCATCATTACCGCAAGCATAACGGAGGGGACCAAGCGCGCAGACGCGCGGTTTGGAACAAGGTTAAGGTTCCTAGGGTGTCATCAGATCACCCGCTCTCAGAGCGGTCACGTTGACCGCAGTGCGATTCGACGCCGTCGTAGAGTTGGCGAGCCTGGTCAGGTTGGCGGTGATGTTGGTCGCCGTCGCATTCAGCGTGGCCGTCAGATTATTGACTGCAGGTAGAGCACCGCACATCGGCTCAATTCGTTACTGTCAAGACCGCGCACATCAGCTCAATTTCTGCCAAAACTCCGGGATTGGTTCTCGAACAGAAGGATATCTTCATCTGAGAACAAGTGTTGAAAATCAGTGTTAGTCTGTGTATCTTCGTAATCGAGCCGTGGTTTGAGGTCCCTGGACGAACGGCGGAAGGAGGCACACCTGTTTACAGTGCTCTAAAGATGGCTCGGTTTGCGGGAGAGACAACTCGAGATTGCCCCTCGTGCAAGTAGAACTTTAAAGCTGGGAGGACGACTAGACTGCGGTACCCGCTTTCGGAAGACAAGCTCATCAAACCGAAGCGGCCCCAGAAACGCGCCTTGGAATAAAGCTACGACACAAGGACCAGGAAAGAGAGCAACGTACATCAACGTACTCGAAAAGCGGCGACAGAACTCGCCGGTTGCCACTCTATTACGCTCGATCATTTGCCGCGCACTTTGTCGCAATCGCAACTCGTCAGACAAGTGCTGTGGACTAGCATCGGCAGAAAATCAGAAACGTGTGCGCGAGCACTCACGGAAGGAGGTGGTGTTATAGCCGAGTGCATAGCACGCGTAGCCGCTGCCGTAGAAGCCCGCATTGCAGGTGCAGTTGACGCCGACGGGCGTGAGAATCCCGGTCGCGTTCTTATCGCAAATCATCATCGGGTCACAGTTGATGCAGCCTGAGAAAAAGAGGGCGGAGTCCCAACTTCGTATAAGTACAGGCATCAACCTTTCTTGACCACTCCGGTTCAGAGTCTGGTTAGATTCTCTTGACTAGGCGGTGCATTGGTCAAATCAGCCACTGGGCGTAGGAACCTAAACGTAGGGCGTTCACGTACTTTGCGTTGAGCAGAATTCTTTGCTGATTAGAAGGTAGCGACTCCACGACACTGTTAACTATAGGACGAGGAACGAGCGTAAAAAGAGAATCCTACAGGAAGCAGATCAAGAGAAAGTGCTGAACGTAACGAGAAACATCGAGAACGAAGGAGTTGAGATCACAGGAGTATAAAAGGAGCCGAAGAGAGTCCCTCACTCGCGTTAGAGTAGCCGCTGTAAGGGCTTTGCGCGTTGACCACTCCCAAGGGGATTGCAGGGCAGAATGACGTGGCACTCGTGTCGTCATATGTGTACTCCACGTAGACGTTGTCGCCCAGGCCCTGCCACGTGGCAAAAACGGGGGGACGTCAAACGGTGGGTCACTTGGAGAACAAAGCAAAGAGCACGCGGAGTCTGTAGAAGTGTCAGGCGGGTTCTGAAAATCACCGAAGCGAGACTGCTGACGTCAGACTTTTGGCGACAAAAGACCACCAAGAGCAGTTCTACAAGCGCTTCACTTCATCATCTCGAGGGAAAGCAAATACGCCCTCGCAACTGTGTCGGTTGCGAAATCCGATTGAAGGTTTGTGTCCTGCAGTACCGGCGACGTTTTTAGCCGGACCCGTCTGATGACAAGTGCTGATCTGCTCGTTCTTTTAAAAAGGCGTGGATTGAGCCTACGTGCAAATGCGATCAGTCAAAGGGGGATCAAACAGTCAAGCTACCGGCCCAGACGTCCATCGGTAAGATGTGGTTGGCCCTTCCAAGGTCTGCGTTTTATGCAGCTCTGCGTTCCGAAATCAGGTTGACTTGACCGGTCCAACGATCTCATCCAGGTTAGTCACGGGTTACTGAACCAACGTTCGTTAACTCACCACCACTTGCGGCACGTTCGCCGTGAAATTGTTCCCGCCGCAGAAGGACGGTTCCTTGTTTCGGGTTGACACAACCGCCCTGACAAATCCATCCAATTCAGTTATGGGTTACCAAACAAGGTTTCGCTAACTCACCACCACTTGCGCCACGTTCGCCGTGAAGTTGTCCCCGCCGCAAAAGGACGTGTTCTTTGAGCCGTACGTGTAGACAGCGCCTCCACGTGGCGCCTGGTTGTTCTCGAAGGAGTTACCGGCGAAGACACCGTAGCCGTGCATGTAGACGGCACCCCCTCCGGTCTGCACAACGCAACGATGCGTATCTTGATTTGTTCGAGAATCAGACGAAGGACACCGTCTGGCAACACGAAGACATGATATTCAACTGAAACGACTTCGATCACTTTCTAGTCAGCTCGAAAAAAGGAAGTTAAGCTGCGCCTTTCGTTGAGGGCAACTCGAGCGTCGAGGGACACAGTCTGCAACGCTCAGTAATCGAATCAAATGATAAATCGGTGCGAACCGTCATACTTACCGCAGATCAAGATCTCAGTACCATAACCCCTGTTTCGTCAAGAATGATTAGTAAACTCTGAGCTAAAACTGACGATGTCCGGTTTCAACCGACTTTCTTTTGTCTGGAAAACCGCTGCTTTTGAGGGCGTATCTCAGAACCATGGTAAGAGCAGGTTAATCTAAGAGAAGCTGGGAGGACTGACCGCTGACGTCCCGTTGATGAAGTCGGTGTACGTAATGGTCGCGTTGGATCCTGACGTCACGTAGATAGCGCCTCCCTCCTGCAAAGCTTCAACCTTTTACGTAAGTGCGAGTTCTAAGCAACCTTTCTTGTTGCTAGGAGCTGCAGGGTAATCACTGTGCTCGTGATACCTTCTGCCACACTCGCTCCTCGCTCTGCTTTTGAAAGATCCACTATCACCTCATTTACAAGTCGGGTTCGAGCTTTGCAAACTCGTTTCATTATCCGGATTGATTCCCAATAAGGTGATCTCCTGTTGCGCTACCAAAATTTGCAAACCGCTAACGAAACTCTATTCTAGGCGCACTTCCTTCTGGCGTTTCGCTGCTAGAACCTGAAATCTCTGAAAGACTCTGTTTCTTTAAAGTGCTGAAGCATCAAAGATAGCCTGGCTCAGCTGACGTACTCTTCGACATCGCCTCGACGTATGCCACTTCCGACAATCTATCTCCATTTAAACAAGCCTGCAAAGCTCCGTTTGCCTACAGTCTGATAGCTCTGAGATCGTACAGATCCAAGAAGCTATAGAATTCTTCAAGAAAGATCATCCGCAAGGTCTCAGATCTAGGTCTAGAATCCTCAATCCCGCTGTTTTAATCCAATGGTAACCCACCTCAGTAGCTTCGCTCTCGGCGAACACGCTGTCTGTGATGAGCGCATAGCCCCCGGAGCTGTACATGTAGATGGCGCCCCCGGACCTGCCAGCAATAGAGGCATAGAAGATGCTGTCCTTCACGCTCAAAGTCTTGCCTCCAGAGCCGTTGTCAAGGTAGACAGCGCCTGCGGAAAATGGTATGGAGCTGAGAAATTTGGAAATTAAGAAACTGTCTGATACATTGCCTGTCTAGGATGTTTGGTGTTAGGTTAATTCCACCTGTCATGTTGGAAGTATTGGAATCGGTGAGCTTTGTTCATTCGAGGACTCAAGCGAGCTATCAATTGACGAAAACGCGGGCAATTTTGTACGCAAGAAAAGAGCAAATGTGTAGTGTCCACAAGAAGCGGTCAGTCAGCAGAAGTCACCACAATCGAGCGCCGAGGCAAACCTATGTGTGGATTCTCCTCGAAAGGGGACGAAGTTCCAGAAAGCTTACGAGTCTCGATCCTCAAATGAGACAAGTGTCGAGCAAGACGATAAGCAGCCGCAACAGTTATAAAAGATAGAGAAAGTGTCATCAAAGCCCGCCAAAAATGGAACATCTTGATGGATTGTAACGTCTCAGTCTGTGAGGGGGGAGGCCGTTACCTCCGTCCCTTTCGGCAGTGTTGTTGTAGAAGACACATCCGAGGAAGGTCGTGTTCCCTCCGGTGTACACTGCCGCTCCATACTGGACAAGAGGCAGTTTACACCAGGTCAAAAGACCGCACAATATGCGGTGGGAATAGGCACGAAGGCAAATGATTTACTACAGGTCGTGAGAGAGACATCCGGTGAAGAAGCACGCTTCAAACAACGTCAAGCACAGCAAATGTGTTTTGAAGGCCCTTTCCCGCCGGATATTCTAGAGAGTCTTTCCGCCAGGTTTTGTGAACGGTCTTGATCAAGCATCCACATTCTGGCACCAGTCCCTCGATCCCCTTTCGACTGAGATGGACTCTTTCAGAGGATTGGAATCGAGCACACCACCGAACCTTCCCATCGGATATCCAAGCGGCTGTAGGAACGATGCGAAAGGGCCGACTCACATAAGCGTAGTTGTTGGTGAAAGCGACGTTGATAAAGCTAGCGACAGCGTTGTCTCCGACCAGGACCGCGCCTCCATAGTAGTCCGACTGCAAAAGAGAACCAAAAATTTCTGCTCCCAGTCCCGTTGAGCGAGAACATCAAAAATGAGGGACAGCCACTTGTGGGCATGACCTTTGTAAGTGATTGGAGAAATTTCGCCAGACAATCTGCACTTTTCTGGCTGCTCCCCTCAGCGATTCCGGACAGCACAGGGTCTTTCATTCTGTCGAAAATGGTATTCCCGTACTTGGAGCTGTTAGATTACACCGGTGGGTTGACAGTATGCCAGGGATGACGCAGAACATGCCAACCTGGGCAGGGGCACTTCCTCCAGACTCTTTCCAGCGTCGCTACAATGAAGAGAAGCGCACAAACGTGCAATTTGACTAGAAGAAAAGTCTTAAACAAGGCTGCTGTGCAATATACACAGTCATAGTCGCAAGGCTTGGGACCACTCACGTAGCCATATGACAGCTCCAGGTTCTGGAAGACAACAGGGCCCACCAAGTCCGCAACTTCGAAAAGTTGAACCTGCATCAAGAAAATGGGGTCAGGTCCAAACGCAGTTCTCAAAGGCAACCAATGAAGACTGCTCACGTTTGGTCAAGTAAAAAGGGACGCAGGGGCTTCCTGTCCAGTTGTGTTGACTAGCTTAGCACAGCATGGAACCCCGCCCCTCAGATTCCAAAGCTGCGGACGAGCAAAGTTCCCAACAGTTCCCCTATCCTTGAAGCCCAAGGTTGTCATGTACACAGGAAGTGACTGATTAATGTAGGCTCAGGGGTTCTGAGACTTTGACAATATCTTTTTCTCAGCATCTGCAGTCCCAAATTCTGTTGACGGGGCTGCAGCAAGCACAGATAGTTTGTCTTAATCTCACAGCGAAGACAACATTGCCCCATCCTTGCATCCAACATCTCGCAGATTTTGAGGACAGAGGTAGAGCTCACAATGACTATCCAAATGCTTCTTTAGGGATTGGTATGTAAAGAGTAAATGGTACTCTAGAATTTTAAGGATTCTCAAGTCCTCAAGTTCTCAAGTCCCAGCCTGTTTCACACAAAATGGGGAGGGCAATGCAGCTTTTGCTCACATAACCATAACCATAGTAGTCTGTGTCGAGGCTCCCGTAAATGGTATACGGAGCGCCCGTGGTAGTGTTGCCGCCAATGATCGTAACCGCCTTGCTGACCTCGAGGGTTACATTAACCTCGATGTCGCTGCAAAGAAGGGCACCCAGGTTCAGAGGAGCTAACAGTGAGGGACCGAGTTTGCCAAGTGCTGGACTTGGGGTTTTGGGGCAGTGCCTTGCAATAGTGTGACGGTATGAAGACAAGTGACAAAGGCACTTGTGGAGCCTGCGAGGAAGTCCAAGTGGTAAGCGGCAGCCGCATTGCAGCGAAGCATCAATTTTTGTCGAGCGCAATTGTCCCCAGATGCTGTCACATGTCGTGAATGCCCTGACGCATACATGAGGAATCAGCGTTGTGTGAGGCAAGAAGTTGGAGCTTCAAGCTCGGCTTCTGGTAAAGCGTTACTGCCAGCTGGACTTCAGCAAATTAGAAAGAGCAGATATTCCACAAATGATTGTTTTCTCAGCCTGACAGGATTGAAGAAGTAGCGTCAAAGAAGTGAGTGTAATTCCACAGCGAAAAAGTATCTAGTCGTTGAGGCATTGAGCATAGAGGCAGTCAGGTGATTTTCACTTGACCAGCTTCTGAGCAATTTCTGGGCCCTTTTGCCACCCCCAAGAACATTCCTTTCGCACTGCTTTCTGTTTCATACCTGCACTTTCTCTCTGATATTACTCATGATATATTATTGAAGAAGAACACTCTTTCAGCATTTCCGCTTTTTCTTTGCAAGATTACATGTAGTCACTTTGCAAATGCTACCAACATTGCCCCACTTTTACCGTCCAAACCCACACAAGTACTCCAAAGGTGAAACTTTTGACAGCTCCTAAAATCTCCCCACTCTTTCCGTCCAACCAACACAAGTAGTCTAAAGCTGGAACTTTTAACAGCTCTCTGTTTCTCTCGTACACGCCACAATCTCACCTGCAGATTACAATGACTTCCCCTAGCCTCGCAGACTTGAGCTTTGCCTGCAGGTTCACAGGGTCTGTGTATCCCACGCAGGTCGTGTTGGGCCCAGCCACACTCCCAATTGCTGGAAATGTCGTATTCAGGAGTTGCGCTGCAAAGGGAGGACTGGGAAAGTTACACTTCTGCTCTGGCACCATGCTTTCAACGTTTGCTGCATATGTTCCCTGCATTGGCAGTCAAAGATTTGACCCGCAAGTGAGACCCCCACTGCATCTAGTAAGGATGTTCCTGGCAGCATTTTAGAGGCTGTAACCTGAAGAGCATCTACACTTGCGCAGGTAATCAGAAAGAACCGCCATCAACTTACAATGCCAGAGGAAAGCAGCACAAGCTTCCTGCTTTTGCACATTACCCCACACATGCGAAACCAGGACGGGGCTTGAAGAACTCCGGCACCTTGAGCTCCCATAACGAGGAAAGGAAGAGCACATTCCTCCCACTTTGAACATTGTGACTACTTTAAGCCCTCTCCAAGCTTGCACTTTACTGCTGGAAGCAAAAAGTCTCCTTACCAGTGGGCAGAGACCTAAACTGAGAACTCTCGAGTGTATAAAATTTGTGCTGGCAGTTGAAAGCTTTGGCAAATTAACTGCACAATATGAGTCGCCAAGCTTGGTTCTTGATCCTAATTCAAAAGAGCTGTGAGAATGGGAAGCCCATCCCCCAATATCAAGAGCAACAAAGCAACAATGCAATTGACGGCCAAAAGCATAACAGGCACACAAGATTGAGCAAAGAGGTCGATGGCCTTACCTTCTGTCTGGCATGCCAGCAGAAAGAGCAAAGCGCACAGGGCGGCGGCGACAGGCACTATGCGTGCCATTGCTTTTGCTGTGCTGTACCTAAGATGCGAGCGAAAGATGCTAGCAAAGAGCGAAAGATGCTAGCAAAGAGCAAGAGATTGTGTTATACCTTCTAATAGGTTCAAACTCATTTGACAATGATGAAAAGGAGGAATTCAGAAGCCTGTCTGAATGAGGTTCTGGAGGTGGCAATGCCAATAGCAATGGCTTTGAACGATGCTTTAGTCCAAGATTCACTGATAACCACTTGTCAATGTATAGTATATATAGGTAGCAATAGCGACAACAATAATAATACGTAACCACGTTCCAATGTTACAATCTGTACCTACACTATTGATATTAAAAGGACAAATAGAACAATATTGAACCAATAACCAATTAAATAATAACAACAGTCTGACATCACCTGTGCCAAGTTCCAACTGCAGGCACAACTGAGCCAGGATTTCTTGGCAGCCAGCTGCACAATGCGGTACGTCGGAACACCCCTGGCCGGGGGAGCTCATCCACCGAGGCATTCCCGGGCTGAGTTGCAGGCTACTGCAGAGGGGCTGGGGAGTGACCGGGTGTCTATTGCCCGTCTATCGATAGCTGCACGGTACATTCTATAGGTACAGGGGTCCCTTATACAGTACCTGAGTAAGATGACCCGCCGGCGCCGGCCACCGCCTTGTCGTGCAAACCGGAGGGAGTGCGCTCTGCTTGGTAGTGACTGTTGGACTGCGCGGAGATTCGGTGAAGTTTTTCGCGCACTGTGTCTTGAATCTTCTGACGAGAAGATCGCTCGCTGCCGACTCCCGAAAATGTCATGCCCATATTATTGGGGATCCAGGTTGGAGGAACCGCGCGCAGCGGGAGTGCGCTGCACACACGAGCACGCGCGATTTTGGTTAGCAATAATATCGGCGTTGAAAATAGCGTCAAGACTCAAGTGTGACGATCGTACCTCCCCTTGCGTCATCCGGGTAGCAACCTTGAAGAAATGCGTTGTTCTCATTGGCTGCAACCGTGAAACTGTCAGAATCTCCAGGTGATCCATCATCCGTCCCATGGCCAGCTGGCATCGGGTACGGACTGATGTCACCGCAGAATGAAACTCAAGAAAGTAAGCGCCCAGATAATTGTAAGGTAACCGCACTGTGACGGGTAGGGTTAGTATAGTGGTTAGGGTGGGTACAAGTGCGGAGCGGGTGTTATTATTTAATAAAGGTTTAGGGGTTTTAGTGTTAGTCGGAGCTTACCATTTAATCTTGGCTTACAAGTTACTACCGTACCGTATTATCTTTCTTGACAGTAAATATCACCGCAGGTTGTTGATCATGGGCCGGTGCATTTAAGACAGACCTACCTATGACAACACGGTATCATACCGGTAGTATTATCGAAGTAGGCATACCGCCCGGCGCCTCTGTGTCCGTTCACAAATTCGTTCCGTGGCGGGGCCCTCGTCTTCGGAGCGGATCGACAAGGGCATGGGCATGCCGGATGTCCGGCCGCGCAGACCCAGTTGACCGTGATCATAGCATATGAAACCAGCCTGGCGCCATGTGGTCGGACGACTCCGTTGACGTACTCGAGAGAACAAGCTAGAAGTGCCAGGTCGGAGGCATCATGACCAGCTGCATCTGACGTGCTTGCTTAAGAGAGGCGTCTTTGTCGAAGCCAGCAGGCGCCAACGGTGGCAGGGGCGGTGCAGCGCCTCTTCCCACTGCGCCTCGGGCAGCGGGTCTTCTAATTGATTAGAGTCCCGCTTGATGAGCTCTGCAAAGGGGCGTCGAGACTCTGACGATAGACGCCGGGAATCTTATATTGGATGATCTGTCGAAGCTGCTACTAGAGCTGACATTGGGTAAAGCTGGCGCAAGGGCGCCAGACAGAAGGACGTCCATGAGCCACTCAGCCAACAACATCTAGAGACGTCAGCAAAGAGGCTGCGTGAGAGGAGGAACGCCATGGAGCTAGAACTCGTAACGAGTCGGGGGCACCAAAATGCTGGCAGCTCTGATTGATGGAAGGATAGATGTGCCCAGTCTTATACGCAAATAGATTGGTGGCCAATAAATGACGAGAAACCAGTTGATTGCAAACACCCCTACCTTCTCAAGCGCTGCGCGCTCCGTCCTGCGGCATAGGCAAACACTCGCTACTAGCTAGAACGCATTAACACGCAAGATCTAGCTTGCATGCCTGAATGGCGTCACACACAGCCCAGTGTCTGCGGCGCCCACCGCGGATGAAAAGCTTTCATTGTTCAATGGGGCGTCCGCTGACACGTGTCTCTCTCTTGAGATCTGGTTTTGCTGCATACATAGTGGTCGCTCAAATAACGTCAGCAATCCAGGGATTGGCTGCGGCAGCTGACGGTGCGCCGGTGACCTGGAAAGAGGATGCAAAGTCCCTGACGTTGGACAATGGGCTGTTCCGGGTCACGTTCGCCAAGCCGCAGGTTAGCTCCGTAAAGACCTCCTGCTCATTAGGCTACTTGAGAGAGTTAGGTGTGCAGAGTCTGTTTGATTATGGGCAACAATCAGAGTCTCTGATCCCAAAGTTGGACCTCGTGATGAGCATGAGAAGAGTTGCTTTCTCTTTCGCTTGCTTAGAGCTAGAATCGAATCTAAGTTCAGAGTGCTCGCCGATCAGATTGAGAACTTTGGACAAAACCTCTTGGAATGTTGCCCGGCTTGCTTTTGATCGTGTTAACTTTGAATGACCGATCCAATCCGAGACTGGTTGCACGAGTCCCATGGAAGGACATTTGTAGTTCCTAGACCTCTATAGATCTGTCCAGTAACCACAGGCTCTTGTCCCTAAGGAGTGACGTATTCATATCATATAAGTGCCGAAAGATCCGAGCTGACCTCAGATTCGCTCCTTGCGCGTATAGGGGTACGTTCTGAGCATACGCTATGGGCCCCCGTCCCAGCGGCCCGACATTCTGCTTTCTGCGGCACGGCCCTCTTACTTCGACCTCAACTGGAGCCCACTTGGAACTGACACCGGGCCATACGACGTTGTGTATGCGACCACTTATGCGATCACGTCAGCAGCTACAGACACGTCAAAAGTTGAGGTCTCCTTTACAAGGTGAGCAGACTTTCTGACCGCATTGGGTGCAAATAAAGTACGGGAAAATGATCAAAAGGACACGATAGCCCTTAGGGCAGGTGTGAATGGGACAGTTATCCATGCCACTTGGAGATGGATTGCTCTGCATGGCGTTTTTGACTTGTCACTCGAAAAAATCGATTACTTTTTTGGAGCACTTTGCTGAGCGGCCTGGACAGACGCAAACGTGTTATGCAAACTGGTTTCATCCCAAATGGTTTAGGATCATATCGAATAACTTTTATCGTAAAGCAGATCGACTCTCTTCACAAGTCTGGCTTTCAGACGAATATTCATCCAGGAAAGAACTCTCTTTGATGTCTCATCCCCTCTCGGAAAAGCGGCCTTCTTCGCTTCAAGGAGCAAAATGTAGAAAGAACCAAGGTTTTGAAGACGTTGTGAACGGTGCACTGTGACCCTCACGCCTTACGTCAATCTTGGCGACTCATTAGCCGACGACCGACCCACTGTGTCGCCCTCGGCTGTTCATTGCCGGGGCGAAGCATGTCTTCCTTTCTCGGCACCAATAAGCAGATTCCGCTGTGCCGTAATCAGCGCAAAACCAGATGGTCAGAGTACTTCTTTCAACAAAGGCCGGTCCTAATTTTCTGCAGACCGTACGTGACTGGCGCCGTTCCCCTTACGCTCGAGACCCGGTACCTGCTGCGGCAGGGGAATACGGGCCTGTACGTGTACCATAAGCTGACGCACAACAAGGCGTGGCCGGACTTCCAGCTGCAACAGGTAAGGAAACGAGCGGCCTCAAGTGAGCTGAGCAATTGTGCCCTGGCGACCGATCGCCTGATGCTCCGGTCGTCCAGTTGCTTGCGCACTCGGTGTTGCCAATTGCAGCGACACGTAGATGATAGTGGCGGTTGACAATCGTGTCGCCGCGAGCTACAAGAGATACACCCCAGCGTTTGGAGATGAACGGTTGGGTGGAGCAGATCGGACGCCTCATTATGACATGCGGATTTAGAATCTCCAAGAGCAGATCTGATACTGGACCACAGTCTGTCAACAACAAATGAGAGTCGGCGTGATCACGATGAACCAGACGCTGGTTATGTTTGAACCTCAGCGGCCAAAGTCAACGTCCTCGAAAGATTGGACAATTCCCAGCATGGCTTGTCGAAATGGTGTGTTCGCTTCGCAGCGACTCCGTTCCTCCGACCCTCACCTTCAGTTCTTAGCCGCTCTCTGACCCTTTTCAAGTCAGATCTGAATCTCTGCACGAATGTGCCGCCAGTTGCTCCTCTGAAAGGCGTCTTTCGCTTCCTTTCCCTGGCCCTCGAGCGAGCTTGATCAGCCTGCCCCCGTCCCCGCCCGATTCTTAACCACTCCTTTCTCGACACGTGGCAGCTGCGGACGGTTTGGGACCTGGACCCGGGCTTCGACTACACGATCCTGGCCGACGATCGCCAGCGCAAGATGCCGGGGCCGAACGATCTGACGCCCGCCGTCAGTGCGGATACCAGCATCCCCGAAGCGCGCGTGCTGACGCAACCGAAGGATCCTGCGTTCAAGGGCGAGATCAACGACAAGTACCATTACAGTGCGGATGTCAAGTGAGTCGACTTGTTTTAGGTTGGCGGTTTGGTGACGCAGAGAGAGCGGCGCGGGGCGTGCTGCTTCGTCTAGAGCAATGTTGGTCCGCTTTCTGCATCTCCACGTGCATGGACCTTAGAATTGCATTGCTCACTTTCACCGGAACAGCGTAGAGCACACCCGTGAATATTTTGGAGAAATTGAAAGAAAAGCAACGGGGCAAGGTGCTTTTCTGCTGAGTCCTTGATCCCTCACATTTGATCCTTCGGCGGACCTTATTAAGCGCTCCTCAAAGGTAAGCAGCATGAGCCAAGAACGAGCGAAGCTGGCCCTTTTTAGGGTTTTTGGGTTTTAGGGTTCTGGAGGAGTGCTTGTCTATTGTTGACGTCTAACATCAGGCTTGCTTCTTTGAAAAGTAGAGCGCACATGTCTCGTCCACTACAGATCGCAAGTCACTCCTCTGATAACGCGAACCGGTTTCGACATCCTTTTTAAGAGACTGCTCCGCTTTCTCCTCCTAGGGACCTGAGCGTCCTCGGTTGGACCCGCAACTCGTCGACCGGATTTTGGATCATTTCCGGGAGCGAGGAGTATATCGGGGGGGGACCCACCAAGCAGGACCTCACAGTACAGGTGAACCCCCCTCCTCGGCGCCCAACTTCATGAGAAACCTCGCGCTTTGTCTCAGTTGAACGCACTTCTTGCCAGTAGAATTTCCAACAGTCGTGGCGTTGCGGCGGTCTTGGAGCTGTTGTATTCGCGTTTGGATGTCGCCGTAAAACTAAGCTTTCACACGCTGGTGGCAGCAAGCAGAGCACGCACGCCCTTGTCGGTCGCGCAAAGCGTGGAAGGCCGCCTCGAGCTTTCAAACACGCGGGACTGCGATCTTCTGGAAACCAAAACCCTGAGACCGATCCTCCGCTCGCCGCGCACAGGTCTTCCCCCTCATCCTGAAGATGCTCCACTCGCGCCACTACGGGACGCCAGCTGTCGCCATCCAGGGGGAGGACTGGTCCAAAATCTACGGCCCATATTTGATCTACGTCAACGCGGCGCCTAGTAATGCGGCGCTGTGGGCGGACGCTAGAGCGCGCGCTGCGAACGTAAGACCCAAGCCACAATTCTTTCCGTCTCTTCGTCGGTTGAAAAATTACGTGTCGCGTTTTCAGATGCCCCTTCCCGCAAGTCGAATTAGAAGCATTCCATTGAAGTCTGCTTTGTTTCCGGAGCGGCAATGGGCGCGCTGAAATTTCGTCACTTGGAAGATTAGTGTTCTTCGTGTCCCTTCCTGACAAAGCCTTAGTGCTAACGTAAGCAAGCTGGGGGAAGCTCCAAACGACGTGCGAATTTGAGATCCTGTGACATCATCACTTCTTACTTTCCCTAATCCAGGAGACGAAGACCTGGCCCTACCTAGGTCTTTTCACCGACCCGTCGTTTCCGGGCCCAAGGACACGTGTCCGCGGCACGCTCGTTCTCGCTGACCCGACCAACCCCGGGGCAAAAGCAGCCGGTGCGTTTGTGGGCCTAGCGGCCCCTGGGGATGACGCAAATTGCTGGCAAGATGACGTCAGGGGGTACCAGTTTTGGACGCGCGCGGATGCCAACGGTGGGTTCCAATCTTTTTGAATTTTGATCTCACCATGTCTACGAATTGATGTTGGTACTGGACAACCTGAGTTTTTTAGAGAAGACATCTCACGACTATAAGAACCGCACGGAACCAAACCTGCAAACCGTTCTTTTTGCGTGAACGTGGTCTGCAGACAAGTGACTTCTTGCCGAGAATTCACCAAAACGAGAAGTTCTTAAGTTCCCAAACAGTACTTAGATTTCGACGTAGATATTTCTGCTTTGCAGGCTCATTCGTGCTGCCCTCAGTTCGCCCGGGCACTTACAGCGTCTACGCTTTTGTGCCGGGCGTCTTTGGGAACTTTCAGTCCGGGCAGCTGATCGCCGTGAACGCCAGCATCCCAACGCTGCTTTTGGGCGACCTGACGTTTACGCCTCCGCGCCTGGGGCCCACTCTTTGGGAGATTGGTGTTCCGGATAGAAGCGCAGGTAAAGTACCTTATCAGGCAATCTCGTTCATCTCTAATCTCACTTTCCTCATTCAAACTTTCATATTGTCGTCTGTAATCTGACGAAGAGGGTATAAATCTTGCGCTCCGGTCTGCCTCTACAATTCGCGGACCCGTGAGGAGGTCTTCTTATTAGGATCTGACTTGTTGAGCGGATCAGCCAGTGAGTTCTTACATTATCGTCTTGGCTGGTATCAACGGTCTAGATTGAAGGCGTCGGTTTGGTAGCGGAGCAATTTGGGCCAGGAGTTTCGATCACAAAATTCTATTTGAAATAACCAAGTGAGATTGAACATCTTTGGTCGCAGGCGAGTTTTTCGTCCCGAAGCCCAACAAGCTGAACCTGCAGTACCCGTATAATGCGACGAACCCAAACCGCTACCGCGACTACGGGGTTTGGGATGCCTACGCGGCCACTTACCCCGTTCAAGATCTCGTCTATCAGGTAACGGCAGAACCTCCACGCAAGAAGCTCAAGAAGTAGAGCTCGAAAAGCAGAGCTCGAATAGACTTTCACCCGCTTTGCCTGATGGCGTCACGGCAGTCTTCCCGAGTCAGCTGATAATCTCTTATTGCTGGTAGAAGGTAATCAAGACGCTTTGTCTCCTCGGAAGCCTTGTATCGTCGTGATTGCCTTTGAAACGATGGTACATTGACATGCTCTTCGACAGAATTTGATGCCTGATGTCGAAGTCCGAGCAGTCCTAAGGACCAGCAACCCCACGTTAAAATGCACACTTTGCAGCACACTGATCAGCCCATAGCCCATACTGAGACAAAGATTTACCTTTTCTCCGCTGATGGTCAGTGGTCACTTAGATTGACAAGGGGCCGGAATATCATTGAAAAGCTATCATCATCAGCTGCACGTACGTCGATCCCTCGAGAACCTCAGCAGATGTCTGTCTTGCAAGTCGAGTGAATGCGAAGGAACGGCAGCCGACGTCAGATTGTCCATCTCCTGGCAGGTGGGCGTCAGCAGCCACTCTAAGGACTGGTTCTTCGTCCAGCCCGTGCGGCTGGTTCCGACCGGTACGAACGTTCCGACCGTCTGGCGGATTGACTTTCCGCTCAACTCCTTCGCGCCGGCCGCCCTCCAAAGCAGCCGGGTCGCGGCCGCGCCCGCGGCCGGGGGTTTCGTGCTGCGCGTCGGCGTCGCGGCCGCGCAGCAGGCCGCGCTCGTGGTCGCCGTGAACGACCCCGGGTTTGTTAACCCGGTGTTCGACTCCGGGGTTATCGGCCAGGATAACGCGCTCGCGCGCGCGGGCGCGCACGGGGACTACGACGAGCTGGAAGTTCTCATAGCGGGCGGGTTGCTACGGCCCGGTGGGAATTCGCTCTTTCTCAAGCAGAGGAGGAGCGACTACGGGTTCGCGCACATCATGTATGATTACCTGAGGTTAGAGGGGCCGGTTTCCGGGTTAAGCCTAACACCCGGTACGAAGTCCCCGGTCGCCGCGCCGCGCCGCGCGCCGCCTCCGCCTGGCAACGGCCCCGAGGTGCCACGTCAGGCGCCACCTGGAAGCATGTCCTCGTCTGCGCCGACGAACATACGCTATGGGGCAGATGGGTTGGGGATGTGTCTGCTTATTGGGTTGGTCTGCATCTTAGCAAGTTGGCTGTGAGCGGCAAGAATTGGTAATGAAACAAGAACCTGGACAAAACTTCTGTAGGGAATGACAGGACGGATGGAAGCAAGAAGTTGAGCAACTGTAGGTGGTCGGATCGCAGCGGTCAAAGATGACTAAGGATGGTGCGGTCAGCAGAATTGCTGTTGCAAGGTCCATTTAGATATGTCGGGTCAAGTCGAGTCGAGTCAAGTCGGTCAGGTCATACAAGTCTGTCAGTATGTTGACTGCAAATTACTCCTGCCGTGCGCGGCAATACTTTAAGTACATCCAAGGAATACTTTCTTGAGGCTTAACAAACATTTCGGAACCACACAAGATTGAATTGAATACACAGGATTCCTGTCTCGATCCATTTGCAGTTCCCTATCCTCCTATCCATCTATGAAGAGCGTTAGATGGCGTCCGTTATAAGAGACCGCATGTCCATGCCGTTAAATCCGGATCATGTGCTGGGTACGCACAGACTTACACGTCCATGCAATGAATCGCTTAGGTTCTTGCGAAAAAGAGGCCTTCGTAAAAGCTTACTTATGATGCGTCATACTCTCGAGCACGTATATGGACGTCACAACATTTCAGGTATCAAAATGTGAGTGCTATCGCATCGTTACAGCCATCGTTGTGCCTCTGAGTCTGCCCATTGCCTCCAAATCCTTTTAAATTGATCGTGACAGTATCAACCATGCGGCGAAAATTACGGAACATCATTCTTGTGATCATCGTGGTCTTCTCATGCAACTTTTTCCTCACATGTATGAGATAGCCTGGCATACGAAATGGGTACACGTCAAGCAGGACTCATTGGTAGGAGTTTCGCACATGCGACAACCCATGTTCTGTTATCATTGCTGACTGAACCACCCGCTTGACTTCGACGATCAAAACTTATATTTCTAGCAAAGCTCCGTTGCATCCATTGAAGAGAACTGCAACTTTGCAATTTTTCTCGTGTTTCGGCGGCAGAAAATAGACCGAAGTAGACGGAACTTGCGTCAAACAAGAAATATTTCTGCGCCCATAATAGTCGCCAAGTCTGCAGATAATACAACTTTTTCACCTCTCCGTTACTAGCGATCCCGTGCCTCTAATGCTTATTGAAATCGCCGCCTTGTAGCTCTCCATATCCTAGCTGCTCACCGGCTCTTCGCCATTCTATCGTCGTTTGATGCCAATCCGCCTTTTCCTACTTTGTCCTGCTCGGCGGAACCCGTTCTCTCCGGTCACTACTTCGTGGAACGCTCTACTTCCCTATGCCTTATTCATCTGGCTCTGCTCTTGCCTTGGCGTCATGGGAATTACTCGAACCAAACAGATGGCCAAGGATTCAGGTTGAACTTGGTTACGTATAAGCATTGCGCCGACTTACTATGTCACCACCCCCCGAGCGGCCCACTGTGCATCGCTTTCATCCCACTCGCCGCTCTTTCTCCCACGTCCAGCTCTTACTAACCGGTGTATGTTCTGAAGCTTCTGTTCCCTTTCCTCAGCACTTTTGCAGCAATCTGACCTCGTCCTACCGCTATTAAATCTTTTCCCTTGCACCTCCTAACCCTGACTAACTTCTAATTTTCGACTAAACCCCAATCCCGTTCCCCTTGACCGACTTAAGCTAACCCCTGAGTCGCCGGTTATGCAGCGCTTCCACCTCTTGTTGGTTCTGCTTTTTCAGCTCACGCCAGCAGTCCAGGTTCAGTAAGTCGCAGGGCCCCCACGGAAAGTCCTTGTGCCGGATGCGCATGTACGGGTAGCGCGGCCGCGGCGCGTCCAGGAACGGGTGGTGGATCTCTTCCTCGAGGTGGGTTAAGTCGTACAGGGCCTTGACCGAGATGATGACCAGGGCGACTTGCCTACAAGAACGGATCGGGTTTGCTCTTAATCTCGTCTGTAACGAGAAGTTGACCTGACCTGAATTCGATGAACCAATCCCGGTGTGACGGTTGGACAGGGTTTACACGCTGCCTGTCTACTTCACATGTGCGGAAACCATGCGAAGCTTTTCAGCACGCCTTGGGATCACCTCAGCAAGAGCGCCTCTCAGAAAAATTGCGTCTTCTTGCCTTCTTCCCAAAGACTGATTAGTTAGGACTCACGAAGAGGCTCCATATTCAGTCAAGGAGTCTCGAGACTCGCACCTCGCAAGGCACTTGCTTCTTTACGCTTGATGAAATCACAAGAGCCAT